CTTCCTTCTTTTTCTTTCTCTTCTCCCTTCAACTTATCTTGTACCTTCGTACATGTATATATATATATATATATATATTCATCACAACCTTGACACTTTGTTACCGAAGCAAGTAATCCGACCAACTCCCTCGACACATCGCATCCGTCGCATCGCATCATCGCTCACGTATCTCGTACGTAACGACCGACGCGTCGGCAACGACGTGCAGAGAATATACAAATATGGATGAACCAGCGCACCACGTGCCGGATCAATCTGGAAACAGCAACGCCAACGGCAATGACAACGACGGCGATGGCCTAGGCCGAGGGCAACAGCACTCTGTCCTGACAGATGCGAATGACGACGGCGACGCGACATCCGACGATCCCGCTCCCGCCCTTGCTTCCCCGCAGGCGCAGGCACAGGCGCAGACGCATGAGCCCGTCCTCGAAGCAAACATGTACGCCTCCATGTCTGGTGCGCTGCGGCAGGACGATTGGGGGTACCCCGTCGTCGTCGCACCGGAGGAGGGGCAGGAGGAGGGGCAGGAGGAGGAGGAAGGGGGAAAGGGAGAGAAGCAAGCGCAAGCGCAAGCTCCGACGGCGGAGGCGCACGCTGAGCAGCGGCCGCAGGAACGCGACCACGACATGCCGGATATCAGCGACGACCACGAAGAGTGGTGGATGGCTAGTAGGGGCGTTATGGATGAGGAGGCACTACGAACGCTCGACCTTGCCGTCGGGGGACTTGCGCGTCTCGAACACGACGATCTTCTCGATGGCAGCAATGGCAAATACAACGATAGTGAAGACGACGCATTTGCGAAGGGTCACGAGACTGCCAACGCAGAGGGTGACGATATAGAGGAGCAGCGGGGAGCTGAGCAGCACGACGGGCAACACGCGTCGTCGGGATCCAGCGCAGCAACACCAGCCCTCATTGCGCAGCAGCTCATATCCGCACACGACTCCGGTGCAGAGACGCCGAGATCAGACGCACCGGACGCACCGGACGACACGCTGCGTCGCAAACGCCGCACCGCAGCCGAAATGCTCTCGGCAGCGGCAGACTCCATCCTGCTCTCGGACGAGTACGCCGATCGCTCCAAGCGACGTCGCATCGGCACGTCCTCCTCGCCGCCCAAAGTCGACATCAGCGAACGCCTCATGGGCTCCGTAGTCGACGACGCCGAAGCCAACAAGCCACACCCGACCCTGGAGGTGCTCGTTCCCGACGGCAAGGCCGTAAAGGGGGAGTACATGACGGTTCAGCTACCACCCGAGAAGAAGAGGCGTACGCGCAGACCCGGCCCCAAGCCCGGCAAGGCACGCAGGCGACCATCCAAAGCTGAGCTGGCCAAGATTGCAAAGGCTGAAGCCGCGCAGGTCGCGAAGGAGAAGGCGGCGCAGGCAAAGGCCGAGAAGCGGAAGAAGGAGTCCCAGCAGGGACGGAATAGGTCGACAGGCAGAGCGGCGGCGGCGGCGGCGGCGGCGGCGGCGACGTCTTACATCACCGCCGCGAGGCAGAAGATGGCCTCGGACGAGGACCGGTCCGTTCGGCTGTCGAGACGGGAAGCCGCAAAGGATGGGAACGGCAGACCCGACAAGGCACGGACTACTGCGTCCAGGGGTGATGCAGCAGCGGCGGCAGCAGCAGCCGCCACTCCGGCGGGTAGAGTGACAAAGGGCAGGGTGACGGATGGAAGGGTCACAAAGGCAAAGGCCGCACCGTCCAAGGGCGATGAAGCAGCGGCAGCAGCAGCCAAGAAGAACGACACGAGATCCACACGTACGAGTACGAGGTCCGCAGCGCAAGAACAGAAGTCCGAGGTCAAGACGAGAGGTGTACGTGGAAGATCACCTGTCAAGGTTAGCAAGGCTGGCAAGGCTGGTCAGTCTGCTGGTAAGTCTGCTGGTAAGGCTCCTGGCAAGACTGCAGCCGGGATGAAGACCAAGGTCAAGTCTACTCCCGTGCCGAGGAGGAGAGGTGTACGAATGGGATGAGAGTCTTTCTCCGGCCAGGACACGGCATGATGGTTTTTAGCTAGGTAAGGTGGAGGCGTCATGGGCTATATATCTTTGCTCCTTTGTATGCGGAGGATGACATGGATTGGTCAGCAATCAGCTGTATTCGGCTACTCTCAGGTTGAGCGGGTTCAATACAAGTCCAGTCCAGTATCGGTATGCGGCTACGGTTTGACGAATTCTAGCTTGGTGTATGTATATATATATGTGACGATGCCATGTGATCGGTCGATGGGGTTACGTTCCTGGGGGAGTGAATAGGTCAGAAAAGACAGATGCACATGCGAACGGTAAGATGCAACAGTGCACGTAGATGTGTAAGTCGAAGGCATAGTAAAACTGTGAGATGAAATGGAGCACGGATTGAGAGAGTGTAAGAGGCAAGGGTTGATGAGTCAGATATAAGACTCAAGATGTTGATGTGGCAAATATATAAGCGTATAAGACATGGAAAGTGTAGATGAAGTGTAAGATGTAAGCCTCAAGACATGGAAGCACAAAAACCGCAGTACTGTATCGAATATATTCATGCTAAATCATCGTGACGCGATGGACAGCGCAGTGAAGGAAACAAAGTGAGAAAGGAAAGAAGAGTATGCTGCTTTCCACCCATGGGTATATCCTCGAGATGTAGAGTCTATATGAGATGGGGGAGATATCTATATATATATAGATATATATATATATATATATATATAAACGAAATGTAAGGGAAAAAAAAGTGTGTGTCTGAAATGGTTTCTGTCTCTCAACCGAGAAACTCTGGTGTTGGGGAGAGGGAGAGTGAAGAGATTGTCAAAGAAAAGAAGGCTTAGGCAGAGTAGCCGTTGTTGATGAGGCCAGTGGTGGTACCGTTGGGGGCGCCGGTGACGACGTGGATGGACTTGTCGGCAATGTAGTCGCAAAGGCCGTCGACCTTCTGGCCGAGGCCGAGGAAGTAGGCGCCGATGCCAGCGACGTGGGGGGAGGCCATGGAGGTGCCGTCCATCTTCTCGGTCTGGCCGTCAGGGACGGTGGAGAGGATGTCGACGCCGGGGGCGAAGACGTCGACGAGGTTGCCAAAGTTGGAGAAGCTGGCGATCTTGTCCTGCTGGTCGGAGGCGCCGACGGTGCAGGCCTTGGGTTCGGAGGCCGGTGACGAGGTGGCCGCGTTGGCGCCGTCGTTTCCGGCCGCGACGGCCAGGAAGAGGCCGGCGTCGGCGATGCCGGCGGCCGCGTCGTTGACGGCCTGCGAGAAGGAGCCGCCGAGGGACATGTTGACGACGGAACCCTTGTCGCAGCCGTCCTTGCCGGGGGCCTCCTTGGCGATGTACTCCATGCCCTTGATGATGCCCGAGTTGGTGCCGGAGCCCTGGTTGTCGAGGACCTTGACGGCGAAGAGGGACGTCTTCTTGGCCACGCCGTACGTCTTGGAACCGATGGTGCCGGCGCAGTGGGTGCCGTGGCCGTGACCGTCCTCGTTGGGGTCCGACGTGAAGTTCTCCAGCCAGGTGGCCCGACCCTCGAACTCGGGGTGATTCACGTCGATGCCCGTGTCGAGCACGAAGGCGCACGTGCCCTCGCCGGCCGACTCGTCGTACGAGTACCCCGACGCCCCGGGCTCCTTGCTGGACAGGCGGGCGAGATCCCAGTCGGCATCCGTCTGGGTCTCCTGGATGGTGACCTCGGCATCCTGCTCGATGTAGTCGACCTATCTATGTGTTAGTTTTCTATATGTATATATTTTTTTATTTCTTCATGTTTTCAATTTCTGTTTTGGAGATCCTTGCGGGTCTGCAGGGATATCCCAGAGAGCCATGCAATAAGTCGACAGGGGGGGAGGGGACAGAACAGGGATGTGTATAAGCGAGAGATGTGGAAAAGAAAGAAAAAAAAAAAGATGCAGGGAAACGTACGTAGGGATTTAGACGGAGCAGCTCAAGTTCGCTGGACTCGAGGCTGGCGGCGAAACCTTGGAAGCCGATGTCGTAGGTGTAGTCGGCGGCAGACTTGATGGAGTCGATGGCCGAGTTGACGGCGGTGGAGATGGAGCTGGGCTTCATGCGGATGATGTACTTTCCGTCAATCTGCTTTCCGCCACGGGGGACGACGACGGGAGCAGGAGCGGAGCGGGCCACCGAGGCCGAAGGGGCGGCGACGGCGAAAGGGAGAAGAGCGAGAAGAGTGGCGGCGCGCATGTTGAAAGATTTTTCCTGTCACGGACAGAGAAGATAAAGAGTGGGTGGTCTCGTGTGTAGGATATATATAACGATGGAAAAGAGAAAGCGAGAGTTATGGACAAATAATATACCACAAAGAGAGTGAGAGCGTGAGCGAGCGAGCGAGTGAGTTGAGCTGCTGATCAACAGTCAGAAAAAGAGAGCGAGCGAGAGCGAGCGAGAGAGAGAGAGAGAGAGGGAGAGAGAGAGAGAGATAGGAATAGATGATGAAGAGGACGGGAAAGAGAACGGATAGGAATGAATGCGAAAGCAAGTTGCTTTATACCCTCTAGACGTGCGTGTGCCTGAGAAGAATGTGATTCTCTCTCTCACCCTCTCTGTCGCCTAGCTGCACCGCTCGGGGGATCCATCGATACACAATACACACAGACACGCGGAAGTGCGCAGCCGTCAGCAGCAGCAAAGACAATAAGGGAAGAAAGGGGGTGGGGGGTGGAGCCATCATCCGGGCTCGTGTCTGCTGCTAAGTCTATACTAAGTAAGTCCTAAGTCAGGTAGATGGCAGAATGACCGGAAGGAATCAGATGGCATGACCTGCAACTCCTCACGCCAACCTGTACCTGCGCCTGTCCTCCCTCATCGGGTAAAGGGGGGCGGAGAAGGGAAAAGATGGAGAGGAAGAGAGGGGGAAGAGAGGTACGGTAACCTACAGTTGCAGGACTGGTCCTCGGGGATCGGAGAGAGAACGGAAGAGGGGGACGGCCATCGAGAAGAGGAGAAGGAGTAGAAGAGCTGGACCACACACCTTGTCGATCGGGTTGAAACGCCCCAACCAACCCATCTCCATCCTGTTGTGGTCTAACGTCAGGAATCCATAACCCACTCACACTCGAAACCCCTGAAGATCGTCGTTGCGAATCTGCACCAATCACAGTCCTCCCTCTGACTTTTCTCTGTCTCGACAGCTTTTCCTTCTCTCTCTTTCATATTCTCTCTCTCTCTCCTCTTCCTATTCTCCTATGCTTGGGCATTCGCTGTCGGCAGGGGCCCTTTTGTCAACCTGGTTTCCAAACAGTACTGTTGACGTTGAAGACAACAGTCAACTGCAGGGATCTAACCAAAAGGACCCTTGGTTGTTTGTCCATGTACGTTTTGGGGAGGTTATCCCAAAGGTTCCCTCCCCATTCATCGGCTGGGATTCGCCGGGTTTCCCATCCGCCGCCTCAACCCAGACGAAGCACACGGGAACGAAACATGCAGCATGTTACTTGTACTCTCGGATCTGCTTCTGCCACTGGGTGGAAGGCATAATGACATCTTGGATCTCGGGGACGTAACTGTGTCTATAGTAATACGTAGTACGTATTTTCCTCCACTAAAAAAAAAAAAAAAACCTCGTTCCACAGCAAGCAGTGAGACTTGGGTACTGCGCACGCGCCTGCATCGTCGCTGCATGTACCTTGTCCTCTCTTCCTCTCTCTCCGACTTGGAAACGACTGATTCAGGTACCGTGTCTCCCGTGGTATGCCCTAGAATGAAAGACAATGAAACCTGACCTTGTTTCCCTCATTGTTTCGTCACACCATGAGCACACGTACACGCCTCTGAAGATTTGCTCATTTGACCAGACATTCCAGAAGCACATACACAGAGAAAGAGGAGATAGGGAGAGGGTAAACACACATGATGGATAGTGCCACGGCTCTGCCTCGACCAGCTCACGGGGCTGCACGACAGAGGTGTACATTTGGAACCGTTCTCTTCTCTCTCTCGCCTTCTCTCTCTCCCACTCTCTCTCCCTACGGATCAGCCTCGCCCAGACGGTTTCGAGCGGCCGACCTCTACCCAGTCATCATCTCCTATCACGTTACCTTGGCTTCATGGGCACACTCATGGTAGCGGCGATAGAGATAATAATAATAATAATAATAGTAGTAGTAGTAGTAGTAGTAGTAGTAGTGGTGGTGGTGGTGCTAGAAAATGACGTATTGCGTGTGCAGGTGCCAGAAATGCCGGTAGGACGACAGACCTGGGACTCATCCTGATGGTATCATCAGATCTGCACTCAACTACCGTGCCGCGCCGACCAGACTTGGGACCTGCCACGACGGAACACGACTCGAAATCTGTTTTTTGAATGCATGCGACCAGGTTTGCTACCGTAGCTTTTTTTTTTCTTCCTTTTTTCTTCTTCCTCTTTTTGTGGTGGTGGTTGATGACCATCATCTGGTCTCTCTGTTCTCTGGGTCTCCTTGTCAGAAACTCATAGCACATCTTTCATCTTGTTCTTCTTTCATCATCATTGTATTTTTATTCAGCTAAATTTTTTTCTCAATTCAAATGTCATTGGTGAGTGTAGTCGCCTCTTCATAATATGAAGGGATGCGTACATGGTCAAGCATGAGTATTGCCGTTCAATCTAGGATCTATCCTGGATAATCTCATCATCAATGTACGACGGCCTCTGACACCAAAAAGCATACTCATACCTTCTTCTCGTCTTCGCTGCCGTCGTCGTAACCGTCATCGACGTCCATCTGGCGATGCAGACGCAAGCGAAGGCATCTCTCAGCCCTGGGGTAATACTCCGGCAATGCCGCAATGATGACGGCTCGGGAAGAAGCACCAGGAAAAGAAGAAGTGCTGCTGCTGCTGCTGCTGAGACAGACACGCACACACACGCACACACACACACTAAAAGGTCAGACGGTAAGGGTGGCGGCCAAGCTTTGATACCGACAGGGGGGAAGGGGGGAGGGGGGCGGGGAGGAGCCCGGGGGAGGATGAATCCCGCGTAGGCACATCGTTATAACTGGTCACCATGGATTTTCAGTTGGTCCCTTCAATCTCGTGGGGAGACAAGAGTCTCGAGCACGAGATAGCTAACCGCCGTCCCCTGCTCTATCCTCTCGATTACGAGGAAGGCATAGGAGGCAAGGAGGGGGGTGTCCGATTGATGATGCCATGGTTGAAGCTCCTGCGGTGACGAGAGAGAGAAGATGGATCTAAGTATTACGTGGTATCGATTCTCAGACGCTACCTGGTCAACTGGTGCTGCATCCTCAGACCGGTTACAGGGATCCTTGCGAGATCCCAACACGATGCCTCAATGATACCACCTAACAAGAAGGGCAAGACGGGAGTAGGATTACCGGGGGGGGGAGAGGACCCATGCTTTGGCGCGGACAGACCTGGGCCAGCCCCGTCATGGTATTGATCCCTGTTCGAAGCCTTCTTTCCAATGGTTCTGGAAGAGGGCATCATGCAGAAAGATATTGTGGGATGGAAAGAGACCAATAGAGCGCCCAAGCCGGAGGAAACGCAAGAGGTGGAGATGGCACGAGAGAGGAGGCGAGAAGACACCATGGTTCGTCGTCGTCGTCGTCGTCCTCGTCCCCGTCCCCGTCCCCGTCCCCTCTCCCCATCAAACTTCGTCTTCCACACCCCTTGTCCTTAACCGAGGCTGCCCCCCCTGCCCCTCCCCCCCTTGCATTCGGTCTTGGTGTTAACCGCCAATCAAGACAGTCGTACTTGGGCCTCTCAACTGCCGCCATGCACACTCTTCACCTCTTCCTCTTTCTCAGCCTCTTGTTTGGCTGCGGCTGCAAATGACTCGCTAGTTGAAAAAGATCCGTCACTAAATTGTCTATAATACAGTGCAGGGAGGCATCGGGCTCGCTTGCACGGATTTGAAGGACTGAGAAGGCAGGGAACCGTCATTGCTGTTCTCCAGCCCAAATCACCGGTCGGTAATCGGTAAAAGCTTCCCCTGTGCTCTCTACGGAAGTCGCTCGATTCTCTCCATCATCACCCGTACAGTCTCATCTCCTCTCTGGCAGTAACATAGAAGGAAGCCTCGGGACTTTTGTTTCTCCCACGGCTGCGCTCCGACAGGCGTGTTCTGTTGTGGGGTATTATTCATAATAAAGGGCCAGCAGGCTGCAGCTGTACGTGTATCGCGTCGCCTTGCCCCTCTTCGGTTGACAAGCAGACATGTGCCTGTCTCATCAGGAATGGCGGCGGCTTCTCTGGTGTCGAAGCCGGCGGAAAGGTCCAGTCTGTTAGTCTATCATGCATGTCAGATTCTTATTCTGGAAGGCCAGACGTAGAATCAGGGATGGGGGGGAACGAGTAATCATATTGTGTACATTGGTAAATAACAATGGACCTCTCCAACGCTGGCATGACTGCAGTCCCTCTCTTCTCTTCCCTTGACGAAGCTTACTACATATGGCGCGTACATCGACGTATCCGGTTAGTTAGCGCCAGATCAGACCGGAAGTGCCGTCTTCAACGCTTCGGTCTTTTGGCTGTGCTCTTCCCGCTACTCGTCGTATATGCACAGCTGGTGATTTCCGGAGCTTGCTTGTCTGAGCAGGTCGGAGGGAATCCATCCTACACCCTGCTGATCTATGTATGATATGTACTAGTAGCCCACTACCTGCCATGACCATGCGTATCATCGCTAACCGTACTCGGCCATTACCGGTCATGGCAGGCCGAGAGAGGAGCTTTGACCCTTGAAAGAACACACAACACGCATACCCACACATACACGCAGAGAGAGAGGGAGAGAGAGAGTTGGAGTTGGCGGGTCCCACACCATCCCAGGGGTCTTCCCTCAAACGCCGTCGTCTGGCCTGACCACTGTACCAACCTGTACGTCATGATGGAACCTGAAACTACCAAACCACAGAACCCGGGTGGAGTTGAAACCGATGAGAAGTGGGAGTTGACAATAGGCAGACAACCCATCTTAACAGCCTCTGGCCCTGGTGTTCTGTTTTGTCGTTTCTCCTCCATCTCCTCGGCCTAGTCGAGATATTCCTTGTTAGGAGTTGAGGGGAAAGAGAGGACCAGGTACGAGTAATAGAGGACATCGTGAAATCTGCATACGGCGCATCAGTTTTCACCTAGAACAAGAGTTCTGGACGTCTACCTTCTAGCCTATCGGCAATAAGTCCCGAGTGAGCCCGTCTCATCCTCTAGAACAGTACATCGAGAACCGGTAATTGAGAGCAGATAAGGCAGGTGATGATGAAGAGTCAACCAAAAAGGACGGTAGAAGACAAGACGACCGGGATTGCATTGTACGAGGAACAATATCCGGCCGAAAGCTTCCGGTTGACATTGAGTGTCGGCTTCCAAGCCGCTCCCTGCGATCCGTCATTACACCACGACTTGCTCCCCACGTTCCTCGGTCTCTCTCGTCGACATGCACATGTCTTGATGTGAGAGACATCAACATTGAGAATGCACGAGACTGGTCGACGCTACTTACCCTATACCTATAATCTCATGCTTTCACATAAGACATCAATCGTATGAAGATAGATGAGGATCGTCTGACTGCAAGCAGTGATGTAGAGAAGTAGGTGGAGTGTTATGCGAGGGAGTCTCGCAGCATACGCACGAACAGGTACCTGGCCGCGACGTGGACGTACAGGCAGGCGCTGACGAGCAGGCCCAGGATGCCGGAGACAGAGTTGGGGTTGCCGATGACGTGGTATCCCAGCTGATGGCAGAAACGTTTCGTATCTTCTACGTCTTCCGAAATCCATCAACCGACAACGACACCGTTGACCTACTCCCACTTGTGGATAGAGATCAGCTGGAGATCTGGAGGCCTTGGAGTCGATGGGTGGGGGGCTGGATATGACGTGCCTCCAAAAGTTACCCCGCCAAGGGTCCCCTCTTCGACGATTACCATCAATGAATGGCATCATCGGGCAGCGGCCGTCTGTATCGCACGATTCAACATGCATGGTTTTATCCTTTTCTCCTTCTTCTTCCCCTCCCGATTCTCCCCCCTGAGCTGCTCCGAGACTCTCTCTACGGCTGGCGGATAAGAGAGGAAGAGATGTCCGTCTTTTTCAAGGACATATCGGGGTAAGATGACAAGCTCCCCCGGCCCAGGACAGCCACGAGGACTGACCGTGAACAAAGCGATAACCCAGTCCGCGCCGGGGACGTGAAAAAGACGCTCGAATCTCTGGGCCTGAGTGTCAGACCCGAGGAGTCGGCCGAGTACACGACGCTCCTTGCCGCCGTGCACGACTGCGCCGAACGCATCTCTAACCTGCCCGACTACCAACCGGTACCGGACACGCAGCGGTTCCCCCGAAAAGACGTTCGTATCCCCGACGAGTCGGAGCAGCTCTACGGACACGCATGGGCGCACAAGTTCACCATCAGCGGGGAAAAGGAAGCCGAGATCCTAGGGAGCAAGACGGTCTGCATCAAGGACTGCATTGCCGTGGCGGGCGTACCCCAGTTCTTTGGAAGCGATGCATTCGACCCGTGGACGCCGACTACAGACGCCACGGTGGTGACGCGGTGCCTGGAGGCGGGCGCGTCAATTCTCGGAACCGCCAACTGCGAACATTTCTGCAACTCCACCGCGTCTTTCACCAGCGCCCAGGGCGTCGTGCACAATCCACTCAAGACGGGATATTCTGCTGGAGGGAGCACGTCTGGCGGGGTGGCGCTCGTGGCCGGTGGGCACGTCGACATAGCGCTAGGTACGGATCAGGGCGGCAGCATTCGCGTGCCCTCTTCGCTATGCGGCTGCGTGGGCTTCAAGCCTACGCACGGTCTGGTACCCTACACGGGAATCACGAGTGGTGACCCTATCGACGATCACGCCGGCCCCATCGCGCGGTCTATCGACGATATCGCCGCCTGCATGGATGCTATTGCTGGGGATGACGGCATCGACGACAGGTCTCTGGGTGCCGGCGACCGGGCATCGTTTCATTTCCGCTCGCACGTGCAGGATGCAGACGGCCGCATGGACGGGGTACGCATAGCTGTGTTGAAGGAAGGTATCGAGAACGAGCTAGTGCAGCCGGGCGTGGCGACGGCCTTTCACGAGGCCGTGCAGCGGCTGAAGGACGTCGGGGCCGTCATCGAGCCCATATCCGTACCGCTTCACAAAGAAGGCCCGTCAGTCTGGACCGTCCAGCAACGCATCTCGGGCGCGGCAGGCATCATGGGCCGGGCCAGCGGCCGACGTGGACTGTACCTTACCGAGTTTGAGAAGACGCGTCTGCCGTGGACGCAGGCTCGCTTCGATAAGCTGTTCCACTCGACCAAGAACACCGTCATCAACGGACTGTACCTGACGGAGAGGTTCCCCGGCTTGTACGGCAAGACTGTCAACATTGGCCGTCGCATCGCCGACGCCTACGAGACAGTCCTGCGTGACTACGATGCCGTCGTCATGCCCACGACACCCTTCGTCGCTCCGAGGCATGGAACCCGCGACTCCGTCATTGCCTCGTTCGAGCCGAGCATGGGCATGACGACAAATACCGCCGTATTCAACATCACCGGCCACCCGGCTCTCACTCTACCGGTTGGGTGGTCGGCTGCTCCCGATGACGAAACGCTCCTCCTGCCTGTTGGCCTGCAGATTGTCGGTGGTCTCGGACAGGACGCAAGAGTGCTCCAGCTGGCGCGGAACGTCGAGAAGAGAATTGGGTGGACGGGGGTACCTCCCACTGTTGATGATGTCAAGCGTCGCCGATAGGAGCAAAAAAGGTATCGTCAACTTTCGCAGAGTCATCTCTCCTGCCTGAATAGCCATTGATTGAATGAAGCGTGAGATGGAATATATAATACCAAGCACATGTACTCGTAAGATGTCAGTTGATGGTGTAGCCACCATCCACAACCAAGGCATGACCCTGTATAAATGAGGCCTGGGAGGAGCACAGAAACATGACGGCACCAGCAGGGGCAACCTCCACCGCTGGCCTCAGCCTCTCCTCGAGCTCCTCTGTCGACGTCGTCATGGGGGTGGCAATGACACCCGGACAACACACAGTTGACGCGTATATCGTCCTGTGAATAGTCGATGGCGTCCGACTTGGTCATGCTGATTATGGCAGCCTTGGAAGCGCAGTACGGGGCTTGAAATTTTCTCTCGTAAGTTAACCATAACGCAGACACACACACACACCCACACACACACACACACACACACTCTCTCTCTCTCTCTCTCTCTCTCCTTCTCCCTCCCTCCCTCTCTCTCTATCACACATTCACTCTCATAAGATCTTTCCCTCCCAACCAAAATAACCCAAACTTACCAGCTCCAGGCCTACCCACAACGCCCAGCTGACTGGCGATATTGACCACGGCACCCCTCTGCTTCAGATGTCCATCCAGCGGAGTCTGCGTCGTCAACTGGCGTAGCACCTCGCGCACGACGAGCCACGTGCCCTTGTAATTGACGCCGTCGACGAGGTCGAACTCGTTCGTGGCCACCTTGTGAGACCGGGCGTCGCGGCCGAGAACCCCGGCGCACTGCACCGAGTAGTCGATGCGGCCGCCCAGACGGGAGATGGACTCTCGCACAAAAGACTCGACAAAGCCCTCTTGGCTGATGTCCCCTGCCTGCGCGAAGACTTGAATGCCCGGGTTGACGGCGCGGACCGTCTCGCTTGTGCTGTCGAGGGTCTCTGCGTTCAAGTCCGTCAGGGCTGTTCGGGGACATCCACTGCGGGCAAAGGATCCGGTGACGGCAGCTCCGATGCCTTTCCATTCCGGTTCAGAGAATTCTCTTGTCAGTGCTCGGCAGAGAGTGGCTCAGCTCGATAGGACCCATGGGTAGGTACCTGTGCCGCCGGCTCCGGTGATGAGAGCGACGCCGGGGAATACGCTACGCGCCATGTCTGACTTTGATGTATCAAGACTTGGGCTTGGAAACAGATGTCTTTGAGCTCCAGGGAAGGATCTGGTTCTCGGATAGTCAGCTTATACCTGAGGATTATGTACCTGCCTAGTATTCTGATGGCACTATCGCGGGCTGAGGGCCAGACCTCGTCACATCGAAGGACGCACCATCTGCGGAGAGACTGGGGATCGATGGAGGACTTGATATTAATCATGAGACCCCACCGATAATTCCCTGTCCTCTTCCAGCAACTGATTTCTTGGGGTTGGAAGGGTTGCGTTGCATCCTCCTCCATATCACCGTCTCCAAAATCTCCAAAACCTCAATATGCTCCAACTCCAACCGGGTTGCACCGCACAATCACGATAACGATGTTGACGAGGTATTCACAACGGCAAGCCAAGTCACATGGAAGTACGTCGTCCAACCTGCGCCTCTGCCCTCGTTGCGGCCGAGCCTTTGAACGTACCGAGCAGTTGGAACGCCATGTGCGCACACGCCAGTCACTCTCTTTAGAATATCGAGGCATCGAAGGATAGGTATTATTATTATCACCAAAGTCTTGGGATGATTGACATCATGTATCAGACACCAAGGAGACGCCGTATGCATGCTGTCACTGTGGAGCTGCCTTTGCCAGGCGTGACCTTCTCACACGACATGAGCGTATGACTCTCCACCAGGACACTTCCGCCGCCGATACCTCGCCTTCCAATGACGTTGGACACACGGCGCAGGTCGTGGCAGCTGGTGATGACTTGGCGGCTGCGGTGCCGCTGTCGGGACTCGGTGTAGTAAGTCCATGGACAGGTCTTCATCAACCACAGCAGCAGCAGCAGCAGCAAACGGCACAAGAGCAACAACATCAAGTTGTGGAACAGGACCAGGAACACCGAGGAGGATGTACCGACACCAGGCTGTGTGCTTCACAGGGACTGCTCTCACCGCAACTCTTCGATGGCGGTGCATCTTTCCATGTACACTCCCATTCCTAGGAAGTATGATCGATCATGACGGAAGCAGCCGTCGACTTCGACCCTCACTTTCGAGAGTTTGCCAACTTCCTTGACGGCGTGGGCCTGCCGGCCGAGTGGAGTCCCTACTTTGACAGCAACAGCAACAGCTGTAGGCAATCGGAAAACATCGATCCAGGCTTGAGAGGCGATGATGAGAATGCAGAGGAGTCAGAATTGGCATGCCTCGAGTCGCGAAGGCTCATCAGCACCCCATTCAGCTCCTGGCTATCATCTGCACCCACTGGCAACAGAATCTCCAGAGATGTCTCTGAAGCTCAAGGTGAGCCTCTCTCAGTGCCGCGATGAACTCTCTCCTCGACTGACTCTGAAGTTTCGACAGAGACCCGCGGGCTGCCGACACCCAGTTCAAGGCGACGGATGAGCACCGACTGAAGCTGTGCAAGTCTCTAGATCACTTACTCAAACTCATCTTTGGCTTGGACGCCATTGGTGCTCAGTACTTCTTTGAGCGCCGCGTGCCGGCTAACCCTAAGCAATCCTCATACACCGACTGTGCTGACAAGCTGAGCACATCGGACCCAGGACCACTTCGTCTCTCTCTCTCAACAGAAAGAATCCAGACAACGTCCACAGACGGCAGAAGCAGAAGCAGCCGCCGAGGACCACCCACTCAGTCGACCACCAGTGGCCGTTGCTGGAGACGATTGGAGCCCCGACGGCGTCGATGGCGTTTGCCACGTGAGAGCCAAAGGCGCACATGGTTCAGGAGGCGTTTGCCCTGCAAGGTCTACTCACCCACGTCCTGCGTGATACCGGCCTGGACGGCGACGATGGCGATGACGAGATTAGGCCCGTCGCCGGGGATGCCGGCACCCTGACATGCCAGCGGCGGTCGTGGGTTGAGCGCGAAACGACTCGGAGAACGAAGCTGATCGCATTCACCTTTCTACACACCCACAGCCTCGCATACGACGCGTATCCTGTCCTACGCAGCAACGAGGTCAACTTGCGCCTCCCCTGCTCCACCAAGGAGTGGAAGGCGTCAACGCCGTGGCAGTGGCGGGCCGCAACCGATGATGTACCAAAACAGCAGCTCTATCTCCAAGAAGCGCTGCCCCTGTTCCTCAAGAACGAGAGTCCGTCTGCTGCGCCTCTCGACCCCATACCGACGCCTTTGGGCAACTACGTCCTCCTCCAGGGTCTGCTACAGAGGATCCATCTTGTGCGCGATCTGAATATTGCGGACAGAAGAAGCACGGCATCCCTTCCCCACGAAGAGGTGGAGAGACTCGAGTAAGATTGATCTGGCCCTCAAGTCTGAATCTCAGGGAAATGGCCCAGCCCCCAAGAAAAGACTGTCCAGCAAAAGAGGGCAAAACATTAACAATGGAAAAACAATCACCCCCGAAACAGACGAGGCCTCCGCTCATGAACATGCAGTTGGCAGCAAGCGCCTGAATCGGGTCTCGACCCTAACAATGAAAAACGGCCCGATACCATTTTCTCCAGCTCACTGCTATCTCTCGCCTACGCCCCGCTTACATCTCCATCTAGGCCCGTATCGACAGCTCGACACGGGCGACCCTCGACTGATAGCCCGATCCCTCGCCACGGCACCCGATGTTCAGCGGGGCGACGGCATCATCGCCGCCCTGCTGTACGCGACGCATATGCTGGGTATCCCTGTCCGTCTGGGTGTCGATCGAGTTGCCCGAAGCCAAGCTCTCTTCCGGAGCGTCAGACATTCCATCGCCGGACTCGACTGCTGCGTCCTCTCGAGTAAAATGGCTTACTAGAGTTGCTGACACCATGGTCACGAGACCACTCAACGGTATGTCCAAACATGAAGGGAATAGAATTTGAAACTCGATCCCTGCTATGCTTCCGCTGCGACGGCCCCGACCGACCTCGTGCATCCGACAAATCTTGGCCTCGCCGTCATGGACATCTGGGCTCACTTCTTCAAGAGTAACACCCAGCGGCCGTTTATCAACATCATCGGCAACAGTCTACAGGGTTGCAGGGATATTCTTGTCAGGCAGGCAGCTCGGTAAAGACGCTGAGGCTATATGCAGAGTCTCTCTTCGAGACGGGGTCACGGAAGGAGAAGGAGAGACAGCTAAACAGTCAGACGGAAGTCTGGGAGAACGTATATATGACGATGACAATGGTAGATAGCCCCGTCCCTAGGTAGGTGAGGCCCTTAACTAAGCGTGCAAGTTGAAACAAAGAGAGATCCAGGCAGAGAGGAGCTGTGGATTCCTGCCGCCACGATATTCGATGTTCCCCTTTTATGCGCATGTATTCTTTGTCTACTTTAATTGATTGACTAGCGACAGCTCTGTATTTTTCTCAATGTCTATCTATACCCTGTGTAGGTACCTTTCAACCTTTCACATATGGAAAAAAAAACCATATGGAAAAAAAAACCTCTCTATGACTCTTGATATTCAACAAGACCACTCGGTAATGCTGTATTCGTGTTGGAAGTACTGTACTGCATTAAACCTACTACTGTGATGTTACTGTATTCGATCGATGAACACTGTCAACTGGCATCTTGGTGCTCATCAATAGTCCGAAAAGTTATATTTTCCCCTCTTCCATCAGGAATCTGGAGACACGTTTCCACTGGACATGAAGTACATGGTATTGTACGCCATTGTGTCCACTCCCTTCCTTCGGATACCGTCTATCGAATCATACCATCCACCGGATGAAGCCACCGCCATCTTCCGCCAGGCAGTGAGCAGGAAGACCCAACAAGCATAAAGGCTATATCGTCGTTTACCTGTTGTACTTCCAACCATAACATGTTAGTCCAAATGTTATGAGAAGTAGCAAGAAAGATGCCGGTTCCCCACGACGTATAACATGTATCTCTATGGATCTCTTCAGTCCATCACTCTATCGAACCCTTTTCTCCTTCATCCGCGTTTCACATATTTACAAAACCTGTCACACAGGCAAGTACAGGAATCTCGAAGGCGTACTCCAAATGAGATCGTCCATCGACTCCCTCTCTCTAGAACGTTCCTCGCAGTTTGCAAGCCCATTCTATTATATCGGAACCAATCATCGAAACCCACAGACCATTCCGACAGCAGTCAAGGACAACTTGAGTGCTATAGACCAAGACAGTAGATTCATAACTTGTTTGTATTTCTCTGCCTATCCCGATATCACATCTCCTAAGAGGAAACTAGGAAATAGAGGAGACCTGAAGGGAGAACCTGAAAGACTATTGCCAGTCGAAATGCCAGCCTTGAACCATGTGCGCGGCCACTCCGAGGGGGAAAGGCCTCGTAATCATCGACAGGATGGTACCGCTACCCCTAACTCACAGCAATCTCGCGAGAATCTGCCCGTTGCCCGGAGAATGAGGTCCAACCCAGACGTCGAGCAAGATGTTGCCGGCCGTCAGGCTGGCCGTCCTCCGCATGGGCCCGTACAGCCCGCATCTGGCGAACCTTCCAGCTCAAGCACGAGCCGGGCCGACAATGGCCGGGGAAGGGTCACTGCTCCTCGCTGGGAGCTCACGTCTGACTGGAGGCAGACAAGACCTGGCACACACATCGACCCTCCAACCGAGTCTGACCAGGAGAGCCGCCATCGGGAACACGCCTGGGCACTTGATATTCTGGCTCACACGGCGTACAACGCCGGGAACAGCCGTCGTGACGAGCTCCGGCCGTCTCCGCCTAGTGCGCTTCGGATCAGCCTGCGCGATCGAGCAAACGATATCATGGAGTTTCGACTCAACAACCACCAGGCCCTGGCATACCATCACGCCCAGGCTGCTGCTCACAGGCGGCAGGTCAGTCGGGCACCTAACCCAGGCGCTTGCAATTCCTCGACGAACCCTGAATGCACCGGTGGGATCCCCGGGACACCATGCCGAGTCTACGGGAGCCAGGGGCATCCCATCCCTCAGGCTTCTTACAGAAAGGCTCTTGGAAATGCCCAGTTTGGCACCAGGCACTCGCACCATATGGCGCCGCTCTCGACACAGGATCCCCTATCGGGCTCCAACACCCAGACTAGCCATCGCGGCGGACTTCGAACGCAGGCCTATCGGCAAGTGCTCCCAGCGCCACCTGCACAGCGGCACGGACAGCAGACTCCGTTGCCTCGTACTCAGAACGACGACGACCCGCCTCAAACGTTGGCCGTCTTCAGCCTCCGGGCTGTACCGACCGCCTTCCCCGGGCGTCAGTTATCGGAGCGCGAGGTCTGTGGACCTCCAACGCCTATGGCTTGCCCTCCTGGTTTGGGAAAAGCGACTCATACTGGCGACATGCCAACCCAGGACGTGCCTCAACCCCCAAACAACCAGCGCATAGTGCCGGATGCAATTCCCGCCGCCGACTACCATGCGTCCCAGCTCCCCAGCGGACAGCCCGGATACACGCATGAGGCCACGGCTACAAGCACGACCGATGCTGACGCAAAGAACCGTGGCCCGCTCGACTGTTCTGCAAACTTGGCCCAAGTCCCCCTTCCCTTATTCGGACTGGAGGAGTCAGGCCGCGAGAACGATTGTGGTTACCTACTCGGCCTCCTAAGGTGCCCCGGATGCTCACCCTCGGCAGACAGGCGTCCCGGGACAGTCGAGCCGCCAAAGCTACCCAGCAGTAATCCCTGCTCTGAATCGGCGCCCCCGTTACCCGCAGCTGGGAGTCAAGTCGAGAAGGAGGGCTACCGTCCGATGAGGGCCGTCTTGGAGAGGAAACGGGGGGGTACCAGTCCGAACGACTCGGGTTATTCATCTATGCGCAGCCGTAGAGATAGCTCCAGTTCAGACTCCGGTCCCGATTCCGGCTCCTTGGAGGATCGGGTCCCGTCTCGGCAGCAGGAGGCTGGGAGCACGGATCGGATACCCTTCTCGGCAAACTACAGGGGATCGCATTCGGCCAAGAACGCCGGCGTTCCCCATCTGCCGGACGACCAGAACTGCTGCCTGTGGCTGTACAACATGGCCCCGAACCTGACTTTCAAGGAGCTCTTCGAGTCCCTGCGGGGCACCGGCCGCATCTTCAGCGCGCACATCAACCAGTCCGACGGGAAGAAGTTCGAGACGGCCGCGGCAAAGGTCTGCTTCTTCGAGCCCGGAGCAGCGGCCAGGTGCATGAGGATGCTCAAGGAGGGGGTCGTCACCATCCGCGGCTACACGACGCAGGGAAGGTACAACCGCATCAAGATCCCGCAGCACGAGTACAGGAGCTACGTCTCGCGCGTGCTCCTCATCACGGGAGACGGGGCATACGTAAACCAGCGCTGCCTGACCCGGTACCTCGGCAAGTTTATCGACTTTGGCACGGACGAGGTCATCGTCGTCGACGACGAGCATCGAGATACCGTCACCGTCGAGTTCCGCTTTGCAAGCTGGAGCAACCAGGCCCAGGCTGTCAAGGCCTGTCTTGAGAAGGAGAAGCCCGTCTGGTTACAGAGAGTTGAGTACCAGAGGGATCCATGCGAGATCAACGAGGGCGAGGGCGATGACGACGAAACAGCTGAAAGGGGATGGCGGTGTATAAATAAGGGAAGAGGCATGTGAGAAATATCTGCAGTCTGGCATCTTTTGCGTGATAGTATAGGAAGTAGTGATGGCATCTCAAAGGAGGGTTCACCGCTTGTATTAGATAGCATGGGTAGCGGTAAAATCTATCATATAGGCAACCATGGTCTTGACAATCGGGAAAGCATAGTTTCGTTCTGCCCTTGTGGTATCTACATTCCGGCGAACTCAAAGCGGCCTCTACCGCCGAGAGGCTACTGGTCCGACTTTGAATAGACCTTGTACGATGATATATAGAGCTTCAATGTATATGCGGTGCGCATAGCATCGACGGCAGCTCACTCTCCAAGGTCGCCCCAGTACTCCCTGAGGTCAGCAGCACGCCACCTTGTACCCCAGCCCGACTCCCTCTCAATCTTGTCGAGCAGTTCTAGGATGGCCCTGTGCTCGGCAGGATGGCTCATACAGCGGCCGGCAATCCAGAGGGGCTGTATACCATTGGTCCAAGCCCCGTGATGGTCGTTTGATATGCTGATGGCACATACTTGCCGGGCGTGCCACAAGATGCTCCTTGGTTTGGGGCTGAGGCTCACACCGGGCGGATGGTTCTGGAGCATGAGGATAGACGCGGTGTGGTATAGTTGGTTCCCCGAGATGGCGGCAGGATTGGAGAAGAGGATGGTGGGGAAGGGGGAATCTTCGGAGGAGGGGATCGTCATGATGGAGTGGAGGGGCGCCGGGCGGACGTGATGCCAATCCCATATATAGCCCCACAGCTTGATCCAGCGTGTCCTGAATTTGGGATCTGTCCGGCTCGGAACGTCGAGGGGCTCGGTGGGAACGGGTGCCAGAAGGTCGAGAACCTGGGCCACGAGATACACCATGTAGTTGGCCCAGCTGTGGAAACCCGGCTGGGAGCGGTAGAAGCTCACGTCCGTGTCCAGATCCATCTTGGTGGCCCACTGGTCCGCTGGTATGAGCGTCTTGACGGATGATATCAGCCCTCCGCACACGTCCATGCGTGCGAAGCACCAGAACAAGGACTCCTCGACGCCGCCGACGGCCCCGTTCATCCCGACGGCCTGCATCAGGCTGGCGCACCCATCTAGGTGCCGCCGCCATGCCTTGGGAGAGCAGCTCAGCATCTCGAGGACGCACAGGATGACACACGATGCGATGACGGCTGTGCTGCGGCTCGGCAGGTGCGGGAGGAGTAGGTGTATAGCCTGCTGGTACAGGGTCAGGCTCCGGTCCGTCGGCTGTGTCGTCTCCTTGAGCTCCAGCTGGCGTGCCGATAGGGCGAGGAGCGAGTACCGCAGGTGGTCGTGCGACGCGGCCATGTGCGGGACGGCATTCTGAAAGGCGGCGTCGCGGTCGAACTTATCAAGCCAGGGTGCGATCTCACCGAACCAGTTGCGCCACAGAACAATCTCCTCGTCCTTTCTCAGGATCGAACTGGTCTCGGCAGAGATGGTAGCCACAGCAGCAGCCGATGGCCATAACGGCCGATCAGTCCCTGCGAAGTCTGCAGCACCGGTCTCCGGCGTGCCCGACCGTGTGGGTGCATTCGATCGTACCTCTTGAATGAGGTGGTGCCGTAGCGTCGAGTGGAGTTCGTGGTAGGCAGACCCGGGCATGAAGACGCCGTCCTCAAACGAGCCCTCGGGTGTCAAGGCCTGTGCTGACGTCATGTAGTCGGCAATCATATCGATGGGGACCGAGTCGAGCGTGGCCTGCACAGGGTAATCGGCGGCGGCGGCGGCGGCTCTGGAAGCGCCCGGGCGGCCACCGCGGCTGAGAAACATGAGGTTGGCGACATCACTGTCGGAGTGTCCCGCGGGCGGCTGGGGCGAGCGCATCAGCGTCGGGGGAAGGTAACCGGCGGCGCTGGAGGGAGCTGCTGCCGACGGCATGGCTCCCTCATCCAGGCGAATGGACTGCTTTTCGTCTCTTCCAAACGTGACAGACGACGGCAACCTGGAGCCGCTATGCTCTGGTGCTGGTGTTTCTGCGATTCCGTCCCCGCCATCCGATGCTGTCGGTGACGGCAGATCGTAGTCTCGGATGACCTCGGCGGTGACGTCTAGGATCTCAAAGCCGCGGGGTCTCTTCCGACCAGCTATCTTCTGCATGGACGGGTGACGACCGTCGAGACACTGGGCGTTCTCGCGGCGGAAAGTAATCTTGACGCCCCATTCGCACCTCTCAGCTCGACGAGAGCAGGTGCCGCACGTCGGACGTCGTTCGTCGCACTTGCGCTTCTTGCGACGACAGTTGAGGCATCCCGTCCTCGTGCGTGTGCGCCTCTTCCTGGGCAGGCCATCGGAATTACCGCCACCGCCGCTACCTTGATCGTCTTTGGCGGTGCCGGTATGCATCATGCGTCTCAGACGAGAGCTTCCGCCTCGTGGTCGTTGCCGGATCCGTCAGCTGTAGCCGAAGTTGCCACCTCAAGGTTCCGTGTCTGGGAATGATATTCGTTTCGTCCGGGAAGGTGCACGCAGATTGCCATACGTATCTCTCGCCCGAGATGGCAGTGTCAGCCGAACCGCATCGTCTCATTCGCATCCAAAGGAGTTTCGAACTAGCATTTGATGTGTATCCTTTTCCCCGGGGGGGATCAACGCTGCATCGTACTTTTGGCCTCTCCATTTCTCCTTTTTCAGTTTGATTGGGCTCGTGGGGTGCGCGGGCTTGTCACCCCCCCCCCCCCCACCCCTCATCTTCTCCATACTCTCCTCCATGCGGAGTGATATTACCGCTTTACGATTACGATATTCCCTTTTAGCCGGGGAATCGTTGGTCTAGGCAGCAGTCAATCGATATTGCAGGAGAAGACAAGAAGATCCACTTGTAACCGTGCACTGCGCATTGGGCTCCAATTATGACCAGGATTGATGAAAATCGCTTCTCGTGGCTCGGTACGTGGATGCTAGACCCTGACCTTGTCTTCCACCCCTCCACACAGACTTCTACTCTGGATAGAAGATACCGTCTTGGGAGACTGTCTTTGGTCGGTGGGCGCCAATGACCAGCTGATCTCTACGTCTTCCCACGCCCGTGATGTCGAGACCGGGTCCCTGGCCGCCCGTCACTACCCAGCTACCCAGCTAGGAAGATGTAGAGATGGGCTTCTGTCGTAAAAAGGACCCCACCTCTTTGCAGGCTCCTAATGTTCCTGTTCTACCTAAGAGGAAGTAATAGCCGCCGCCCTTGTCCTTCTTGGCCCGTGGGGTAGCTTCGTGTCATTCGCCCGACGGGTTATTACCGTAGGATGTCAAGGCCAGAGTCGTCCTGAAATCGGGCCTTTAGCCTCGAAAGAGGTGATAGAAGTGCATGCGCATGGCTTTGAGGAATTGGAGATTGTCCCATGCTCTCCCCGCATCGAGGTCTATTGATACTATTAATACCGTTAATACCGTTAATACCGCAGAGTCAACGGTCCATGGATGTACCAAAGTCGAGTTCAAGATGATCATACCACCCTCCACACTACACCAGTATCTATTATCACCATCGATCATGATGCACCGGGACGAGTTCAAGGTTCTTTCCTCGAGGAACTCAACCCGCTGCTCATCCATCAACACTGCAGTCAAGATCGGAAGCACCCTAGGCGTCTTCACTCTGTTGACAGTTGACCAAGAGCATCGCTACTCTTCCCACCACATATAGGACCGACCACTCATACATGTTCAGTTCGAGCCCAAGTGACAGGTCATGGTTCATCCGCTTCGACATTCCAAGAGGGGTCCCTCTCCACACCACGTGGGACAGACCTGTCTGCGCACCCCTAGGACCCTCTTTTCCTCCCCCAGGTTGGTCCCCAGGTTGGTCCCCAAGTTGGGGGGCCCCCATGCGGAGACGAGGTCTACGGAGGAGCTGGCAGATCGTGGGGTGCGTTGAGGGGGTTGCGATGGTACGTCAAACTGGGCATGTCCTCGGGTCTAAGTCCGTGGTGCGAGATAACGGGAACTGAAGGCCGTCAAGACCTGAAGACGCTTGGAGTACAAAAACATATCGGGCCTCCCTCTGCGGCACGTTTCTGAGATGCCGATTATGGCCCATCATCTTAAACTCGTCTTCTATCTTGCTTCAGTAACAGTTCCCGAGAGCCCATCATGGTTGCTGGCTTCAAGGGGACAGCCCTCAAGGGGAGAAACCTCAACTGGGTGATCACGGCCACGGCGGGCGCTGGGTTCCTCTTGTTCGGCTACGATCAGGGCGTCATGTCGGGCCTGTTGACTGGCGATGCCTTCACAGGCACCTTTCCCGAGATCGACACGACAGGCAGCGGTCACGGCAGCTCTTCTCTCCAGGGGACCGTCGTGGCCATCTACGAGATCGGCTGCTTCTTCGGGGCCATCTTCTGTCTGCTCATGGGCGAGCGTCTGGGTCGTCGCCGGTGCATCATGTCTGGGTGCGTCGTCCTGAGTGTAGGCGCCATCCTCCAGGCTACAGCGTATGGCATCCCGCAACTCATCGTTGGCCGCATCGTCGCCGGCCTCGGCAACGGCATGAATACGAGCACGATCCGTACGTTCCCACCTCCCACGCCTGCGTGTATACGCGAAGCTAACTTGAACAGCCGTGTGGCATTCCGAGCTCATGAAGGCCAAGGCCCGTGGCAGGGGGCTCGCCATCGAGCTAGCAATCAACATCTTCGGCGTCATGCTGGCCTACTGGGTAGACTACGGCATGTCGTACGTCGACGGTCACTCGCAGTTCCGCTTCCCTCTGGCCCTACAGGTCCTCTTTGCCACCCTCACCTTTACTGGCGTCGTGTTCCTCCCGGAATCGCCCAGATGGCTGGTCGCCCACGACCGCCACGACGAAGCCCGTCGTATCATGTGGGCTGTGCGGTGCGACGAGGGGCTCACGGGCGAGGACGATCCCGGACTGATCCAGAGCCTCGGAGAGATTCAGGATGCCATCCGCGAGGAGCGCGAGGCCGCCGAGACGACCAGCTTCAAGGCCATGCTGAGAGATGGCCCCCAGAGGTTCCGCTACCGCACCCTGCTGGGGATCGGTGGGCAGTTTATGCAGCAAATCTCCGGCATCAACCTCATCACCTATGTTCGTCATCGCCCCTTCAGCCATTTTGTTTGACACGCGAAAGGGAGAAGAGGGAGACCTGCTGACTGGCGTCGAACTTGCAGTATGCCCCTGTCATCTTCCAACAATCTGTTGGCATGTCGCACAGCCTGTCGCTGCTCATCGCAGGCTTCAACGGCGTTGCCTACTTCTTCTCTTCGCTCACACCTATCTGGATCATCGACCGAATGGGCCGGCGCAAGCTCATGCTTTTTGCTGCTGCCGGTCAGTGCTTCTGCATGGCTATCCTCGCCGGTACCGTCTACGACGGCTCCAAGGCTTCCGGTGTCGTCGCCACCGTCATGCTCTTCCTCTTCAACTTCTTCTTCGCCGTCGGTCTCTTGGCCATCCCTTGGCTTCGTGAGCTCACCCCGGCCGCTTTCCATTCCCGCCCGACTCACGGTCTCTCACTGACAGAGCACCAGTGCCCGCCGAGTATGCCCCGTTGGCCATACGCACGCGTGCTGCCGCCCTCGCTACGGCCTCGAACTGGATCTTCACATTCCTCGTTGTCGAGATCACACCCGTCTCTATCGGCAACATCGGATACCGCACGTACATTTACTTCTCAATATTCAACTTTCTGTTCCTCCCCCTCATCTATTTCTTCTACCCCGAGACCCAGCGGCTCTCCCTTGAGCAGATTGACAAGCTGTTTGAAAGAGGAAAGGTCATGCTTCGCTGGGACCCTTCAATGGGCGTTCCAGGGGAGGCTCCTGAGAGGACGGGTCTCGAGAAGTCGGGGATGATGGGCCACATCGAGCGGAGCACTGACCAGAGGGATAGTTAGAGTTGATGGGGGTAAAATGCCAATTTATGCATATTATATATATATATATATATATATTTAAGAAACATTTTTTTATATTTTTTTAATCCTATATGCGATGTCTCTCCGATCCCGACGCAGACTAGATCAAGACGCATACGGATGGCATTCGCGACGGCCCAAGGCCACCGTCGGTCTACTAAAACCTTTGCGGCAAAGCGCACCGGATTGTTGAAACCCTGTGATGGCAGGACATGACAAACATATTATATATTGTTCGACTGCCTGTAACGGTGTATACAAAGTGAATGGTACCGGTTTACAACGTGGGTTATCTCTTCTACCCGGGCCCCGGATGGAATGATACGACTGCCCACCATCAATTGTAGCAGGACGTGACATTTACGGTCGAAAAGGTACGTGATAATATCTCAGAATTACTTCCTCTATACGTTATCCCTTCTTCTGACTCTCTTTTTAGTTGTAGCATCATGAAACTTACAGTCCTAACTTCTGATTAGACCTCCGGACCTTATTCTACTATTGTGGACTTGTAATTCAGATAAACCCGAAGAATTACGGTGAGTCAATCTTTTTCTTTCGTCGTATTGTATTATTGTTTGTAATGTTTCTCATTCTTATTGTGGTGCGTAACTCGACGGTGTTGTGGTCGAGTCCCGCTTACGTAAGCCATACCTGGAAACTGTATATTCGGCAACAGAAGTGAGGCTTTTGACGATAAATCGCCAGCTATGAACGTGTAGGAGAACTCAGATGTGTGTATGTAGCTGCTATGAAGTGACCACCCGTGGGTTGGTCACAACACTATGAGATGATTTACTATGACGCTCATCGTGAGTATCTTATTGTAAGTATCTCTTGTCAGTATTATTATAAGCATCATGGCAGAGGACTTAAAAAAGGAGAGAAACTATATGATATAGGTCAAGGTTCGACCCTGGACGGCACGTGGCATTCTCTCCACTATTGTATAACTACTATTGTAGTAACTCTTGGTGTCTCGAGTCTGGCAAAAAAAGCCGAAGCTGACCAGACCCTGAGTCTACTTACAAGAACCAATTCGAGGCCCCCCTCGGTACATAGAGAGGGAAAGCTTACGTAGAAGCGATTGCGGGAGTGGAGATTTCCAGGAACTGCGGAGATGGTTGATGAATATATTTGCTTTAGCCCTCGCGTGTTTCTAGAGCATAATCATCCCGTTTACAATGATTCGTCACCCTCTCAACATGTTGTGTGTCACCCAGCTTTGGTAGTATCACTACAGAAATATCTCTACGATGAACCATGTTGCATATAGGAATCGACAAGGAAAGATGGTAATATCTGGATCTTTGCTCGGTTCAACTCACATGCAGTACCCGCTATCAGCCCTATAGATTGTATTCACGCCCGCGAGACCGTGGCCTCGATACCATGATCTAGAAGTCTAATCCGGGAGACAGAGCTGCTGTGTGGTGTCCTCCGTGGATGTGAGGACCATTCTGAACCGTCAAGGTGGAGACTGTCATCGCATTACATCACGGATGGTGAGATGTGTGGACTGCACACTTCTCTGGGGGCTGAGAGGCCGAATCTAAAACCAAAGATTAGTATTCGGTTGCCAGGACCGAAGACAGGCGGAATCAGTATATGAGCATGGGGTTTCCGAGCGTCCGGAGGACCCGACGATACCCTTTCCTCCACTGGCTTTCCCTACTGCTACCACATCTGAGGCTTTGCGTTACAGAAGCCTGCAGCGGTTTGAATCATCGCCCCGGTTCACGATGTGGAACCAGTTCAATCTCGTCAGACTGGCCACGGCCTTCCTGACTGCATCGTCCATGGCCCATCCTGGCCATGAGGAGGAGGAGAGGAAAAGCTTGGCCACGGCCGGATCCTTCGCCGACTCTGCTCTCTCTGTCGGAAGGTGCTCTGGTAATGCCGAGAAGGTGGCCCGCCGGATGGAGGCTGCCATTCAACGCCATGCTCATACCCAGAGGCTGAAGAAGCGCAGCGTCGACACTCAGGGTTCGTAGCCCAGCCAACTTGCCTCGAGAACTCCCCAGAACCTCTCCCTCCCTCCCTCTCTCCCTAACATGTGACAGGCAACTCTCTCGACAAGCGCTCCCTGGAGTCAGTCCTCGGTACCAACCACCACTCCCGCCTGCGAGGCATCACCCTGGACAGCGACCCGAGAGACTTCTTCACCACGACGACGTGCATCTTGAGCCCTGATGGCGGCATCGGTCCGTACTACGTGCCTGGAGAGCAGGTGCGCCGGGACATCACCGAAGATGAGGAAGGGGTGCCCCTGTATATCCACGTGCAGTTCATCGACGTGCATACGTGCGACCCCGTCCCGGGAGTGTACGTGGACGTTTGGCAGGCCAACTCGACGGGCGTCTACTCGGGTGTCCAGAATCCGGTCAACGGCAATGGTAGGGACAGGTCCAATATCCACAACACTGCCCTGCGCGGCATCCAGCGTACCGACAGGAACGGCGTCGTCATGTTCGACTCCATCTTCCCGGGAATGTACTACGGTCGCGCCGCCCACATCCACGTACTGGCTCACAGCGAGGCCACCCGTCTGCCCAGCAACACCGTCGTCAGCAAGTACGCCTCCCATATCGGCCAGCTGTTCTTCGACCAGGACCTCGTCCACGGTATCAGGGACATCTACCCGTACAGCACTAACGTGACCGATCTCACCCTCAACAGGGACGACGACTTCATCAAGATGATCACGGAGAGCAGTGAGTCTGATCCCGTCTTCAAGTATGTCCTCCTAGGAGATGACCTCGCCGACGGCGTCTTCGCCTGGATCACCGTTGGCATCCAGACCACCTCCTACTACGACATCGACCACGACTTTGTGATGACGGAGAATGGAGGTGTCGCTCTGAACGATGATTAGAATGTTCCTATGAGGCGGGGAGAGGCACAGGAAGAAGGGGGATCAGTGCCTCATATTCTGTGATGCATAGTATGCATGGAGTACTGTCAAGTTTCCGACATAACCTGCCCTCGCGGTCACGGATGCTCTCATGGCAGGGATGCGAGAGCACATATCTTCCGCTTGACGGACAGGAAGAGGAGGAGTTCTTGCGAGTTTGATTTTTATTTTTATTTTTTTCGATTTTCCATCATCAGCTTTGCTTTACGTGAATCTTTAATCGCTGCTAGTTCTGCCTCACGTTATATGCCACCCTTGGGTGCATGTTGCGAGATCCATTACGTTCTTTGTCCCTCCCATGCCGTGAGCCCTGTTACGCGATAAACACTGCTCTGTTGCTGTACCTCTAACAAAGTCTGGTGCTTGTGAGAATGCTACAGAATGGATTGGAAACATCTCCATCATAGATCCTTTCATAGTCATTATCCTGATAACCTCCGTACGCTAGATCATTTGCAGTGTTACAGCACGCACCATCGCTCAAGCCGAAGCTGTGTGGCCACCGTCGACCCTCAGGTCAATTCCGTGCACAAACGAAGCACCTTCAGACAAGAGGAAAACTGCGGGCGCCTTGAAGTCGTCTGGTACACCCAAGCGACCAAGAAGAGCACCGGCCATCCAGGTCTTCTCGACACTGGGGTTCTCAACCAGGAGCTGGTCCGTCATGGCGGTGCGGATGTACTGAGAGAAAAGTTGCTACTGTTAGATCATATCGTTTATTGGGGTCGATCAGTCTCGGACCGCTGATTCTCATGACTTACTCCCGGAGACAGCGTGTTGATGCGGATACCGAACTGGCCCCATTCTTGGGCAATGGAACGACACATTTGCTGCACGGCAGCCTTGCTGGAGTTGTATGCGGTGCACGAGAGACCCTAAAACATTTGTCCCATTTCTTCAGCAAAGGTGCCCCGGGGGGAGGAGATGGATATGAGAGAGAGAGAGAGAGAGAGAAAGCATACTCGGTTGGCAATGTTACCCGACATGCTGGAGATGATGACGATGCTACCGGGGAGATTCCTGCTCCTGAGAGCCCTCGCAGCATACTTGCAGGTGTTGAAAGCACCCGTCACGTTGACCCTGAGTATCCTGTCAAAGTCGGCGGCAGGGTAGTCGATGGCGGGTAGCTGCTGCTGGATACCGGCGCAGGCAACGGTGCCCCAGAAGACGGAACCGCGGGACTCGGCATCCTTGGCGACCATCTCCATCACATTCTCGGTGGACGCCTCGTCCGTCACGTCACACTTGTGGTACGTTATGGACCCGGCCTTGGCAGCAGCCAGCTTGGTAGCCTGCGCCCACTCGGCTTCCGCCGGCTTCTCGAGGATGTCTAGGCACGCGACGTCGCCGTCCGCCTCGAGAACGGCAATGGCGAGGACGATTCCCAGACCGCGCGCACCTCCCGTGATAGCGACCGTCTTTCCGTCTAGAGAGAAGAGCTTGGATAACGATGCGGTCGAGGCGGGGGCCTGGCGGGTCTCGGGCACCGCATCCGTGGGCGGCGACACGTCCTGAACGACTGAGGGGGCCATGATGAATCTTGGGGGTTTCGCAATCTGTGGAAATCTGGAAATTTGGGAAGAAAGATTGAAGAGCAGTTCAAATCGATGGAGGAAGAAGACAGTAAAACAGGTCAAATAGGGCCGGGACCACAGGGACTTGATCCCGTTCAACCCATCTTACATCTTTCTTCTTTCTAATCCGCTTCTTCGCTTTCAGATGCCATGACTCTCTGTCGGTCAAGTGTTGAGAAGCTTCTCTCACGAGGCACATGCAGTTTTAAATCTCCCCTGCAGCCCACTTCGCCTGAAGTTGTGGGCGGGAAACCGACAAGGAAATCGTAAGCGCTCGTAACCAACTTGTCCATATCCACCTTTGGACAGACCTGCATCTTTCAAACGGATTTCCGGGAAGATTGGAGCCTCTATTGATCGACAAGTGCGGGTCAAGGGAAGGAGAGGGGATAGACAGGGACCCGTCCGAGTAGTAGTCAGGCGTCCCAATGTTACAACCTACATGTATTGTATGTACTATGTACAGACTAACACTTTTTAAAGGCATCCTTGGCAATGCTATCTACCCCGCCCTCCATCTCCATGGGGCCCCTTGTGGTCTGTATTCCCTAATTCGGAAACAGGCAAGATGAAGCGCCCGACCGGCTTTGTCGTGTCGACAGCGCAATTTGACGACGCGGGGTGCAAGAGGGAGAGACATGAGCAATGTGATGCTCCGCCGCTCTCCCTGATGCAATGTTAAATGCATAATGATTGACATCCCGGCGAGAGTGCTTCCCTGCCCTCTTCGTCTTCAACTCGGATGCCTTGCTGCCGATTGACCTACACGCGCTTTGGAAGAACACGATGACGACCACTACTATCAACGGCTCCGGGCAGCTTGGCCGGTTCAGCAAGCAAGATTCCAAAGACATCGACGTAGTTCTGCGCCAGTTCCGCTGCCTGATCGCAGATCTTTGCCAGCAGTTCAACGGTGGTCACCCGGGGTAAGTCGGAGCCTGTTTCTCCCGTCGGTAGGGACGCGGAGAAATCTTGCAATTGTAGCTGACAATCGTCGCTAGGAGTGCTATGGGCATGGCTGGCATCGGCATCGCACTCTGGAAGTATGTCATGGACTATTCTCCCAGCAACCCCGAGTACTTCAACCGAGACCGCTTCGTCCTATCCAACGGCCACACCTGCCTCTTCCAGTACTCGTTCCTGCACCTGACCGGCTACAAGGCCATGACCATGGACCAGCTCAGATCCTACCACTCCGCGCGCTACGACTCCTTCTGCCCCGGCCACCCGGAGATCGAGCACGAGGGCATCGAGGTGACCACAGGCCCTCTGGGTCAAGGCATCGCCAACGCCGTCGGTCTGGCCATGGCCACCAAGAACCTGGCTGCCACGTACAACCGGCCCGGCTACGACCTGATCAATAATACGACATGGTGCATGATCGGCGACGCCTGTCTGCAAGAGGGTGTGGCGCTCGAGGCCATCCAGCTCGCCGGGCACTGGAAGCTCAACAACCTCGTCGTCATCTACGACAACAACCAGGTCACCTGCGACGGCAGCGTCGACCTCTGCAACACGGAAGACGTCAACGCCAAGATGCGCGCCTGTGGCTGGAACGTCCTCGACATTCAGGACGGCTGCTACGATGTCGAGGGTATCGTCAGGGCACTTCTCCAGGCAAAGGCAAGCGCCGACAGGCCTTCCTTCATCAACGTCCGCACCGTCATTGGCGTCGGCAGTAAAGTTGCCGGAGATGCAAAGGCCCACGGTGCTGCTTTCGGTACCGAAGACGTCAGAAACATCAAGAAAAACTTTGGCATGAACCCCGAGGAGCACTTTGTCGTTTCAGACCAGGTCTACGACTTTTTCAAGGACATCAAGCCTCGTGGTGAGCAGCTCGAGGCGGCATGGAAGGACCTCGTCTCCGCTTATGGGAAGGTGTACCCCGACCTTCACACCGACTTCACCAAGAGGGTCGACGGTGATTTCACACAGGACTGGCGCAGCATTATCCCCTCCAAGGACAGCCTCCCTACCACCCCGACGGCATCGAGGAAGTCTGCCGGTCTTGTTTGCAATCCTCTGGCTGCCAAGCTTACCAACATGATGGTTGGAACGGCTGACCTGTCGCCGTCGGTCAACATGATTTGGAAGGACAAGGTCGACTTTCAGCATGTAAGCCACATCGCCTCGTTCTTCTAGGAGGTGAGATACTTACTGAGAGTGATCAATAGCCGGATCTGAAGACGACGTGCGGAATCACGGGCAACTACTCCGGCCGCTACATCCACTGGGGTGTCCGCGAGCACGCCATGGCGTCCATCTCTAACGGTCTGGCCGCTTTCGGAAAGGGAACCATCCTCCCCGTCACGTCAAGCTTCTTCATGTTCTATATTGTGAGCCATCGTCCTCCCCACCACCGCAGACCTCTGGCTGACCGTCCCAGTACGCCGCTCCCGGTGTCCGCATGGGAGCCCTCCAGCAGCTGCAGGCCATCCACATCGCGACGCACGACTCCGTCGGCACAGGAGAAGACGGTCCGACACACCAGCCCATCGCCCTCGCATCACTGTACCGTGCGATGCCCAACCTGCTATACATCCGTCCGTGCGATGGCGAGGAGACGGCTGGAGCCTTCATCGCGGCCCTAGAGGCACGAAACTCGCCCTCCATCCTATCCCTGTCGCGGCAGGACCTGGAGCAGTACCCGCAGTATTCGCAGCGGGAAGGTGTCCTGAAGGGAGCTTACGTATTTATCGAGGAGGAGGACGCCGACGTGACCCTTATAGGTGTTGGGGCGGAGATGTGCTTCGCCGTCAAGACGCGCGAGACGCTCCGTCGCAACTACGGTATCAAGGCTCGTGTCGTATCTTTCCCATGCCAGCGCCTGTTTGAGGCACAGCCCATCGAGTATAAGAGGCAGGTGCTGAGATACTGGTCGAATGCACCCCGCGTCGTCATCGAGGCGTACGCGGTGCTGGGGTGGGAGCGCTACGCCGACGCGGGTTTCTCCATGATGTCCTTTGGCAAGAGTCTCCCCGGAAAGGACGCCTACAAGTTCTTTGGGTTCGACGAAGAGACTATTGCGCCCAAGGTGCGCGGACTGGTTGACGAGGTCAGGAGGGATGGAGTGGAGTGTCTACGCGGCGAGTTCCGTGATCTCAACACGGCAAAGCACTAGAACAGTGGAAGACGGATTCTCTCTTGGAAATGTACATCTTAGTTTCACTGCGCGTTCATATCACTGTGTCACTTACACGTAGCGTGGTGTGACTTTCTTGTCATCTCATGTTGTGTACCATCACTTTGATATCATCACGAACATACTTGTCACCTGGACCTCGTCTTCTAGAAACCACAAGTTATTTGTCTGTATATAACATGTCATCTGTCCCCGCTCTCTTCCTCATGGCCCGACTGCTCTTCTTCTCTGTAGTGCCTCAATGCCATCATACTTGGCGTATCCCTTTATTCATCATCACCTTGGAGAAAATGGGCAATTCAAGCGAAAAGAAGAAGAAACGTTCTCACCACAAGAGCCCATCCGAAAAGGACAAGGACCAGAGTGGCTATATAAAGCATCACCGTGATAAAAGCTCTTCCAGAGAGGATGATGATACAGATAACGAAAGAAAGCCCGCCGAAAAGGATGATGTAACGGACCACAAGAAGGTTTCTCACCCCAAGAGTTCGAGCCTCCGCCATGAGAAGAGGTATTACAACATACGTGGCATAAAAAGGTATTTAAAGATACAGGGGGGCGGGGGGGACAAAAGAGAGTCATCCAAGAACGACTCGAGATCGAGGCATGAGGATAAGTGTTCAGGGGAGGATTCAGTCTCAAGACATGGAAAGCGTTCTTCCAAAAAGAATTCCGAGCACTCTCACACCAAGACTGAAAACTCGGAATATGTCAGCTGGGCCCCGGCCGGTGACACATACGAGGCCTATCCGGAGCACTCTCCTGCCGAGGAAGGATATCCAGGTGATCAAGGACCCTCTAGTGAAGGCAAATACTCCCTTTTTGGAGATCATCCTGCTGATTTATCTCCAATCTATGAATCTGAAACCGGGAGTGATCGTGGACCAAGCTCTGCTATCCATCAGGAGGGTCCAAGTAACGCAAAGCTGTCCTCGACTGATTCCGGGGGGGGAGGGGGGTGCAACCGATCAGGGAAGTCTCTCTGAAGGAGGCATCGACTCCGGACCGCCTCCCGCTCAGGAGAGCGTAGATCCTCCGCCTGCTAAAGAAGAGCTCTCGGTGAACGATGAGTCTAGAAACGAAACTAGCCTCAGGCCAACCCCCACGGCTAAAGGCGAGGGTCTAATGCTTGAGCCTACTCCTCCTGTATCTGTCTCTGACGAGGGAGAAGAACTAGAGCTGATTCTTCCCTCCGAGGATGCGAGTGGAAGCAAAGCTTCTTCTGTCAAGGATACCCGTTTAAATGACGACGAATCAGACCTTTCAAAAGATGCAGGCTCGGAAGATGACGAACCTGCTCCAGCCAAGAATGGATGTGGAAGAAAATCATATTCCGTCAAGGAAGCAGTCTTGGTAGATGACAAAATCGAGCCTTCACCCGCTCTACCTGAGCATGCAGATGCAAAAAATGGCGAGGCCTCTCTCATCAAAACCGAGAGCGACAGAAAGCCAACTTTCGTCAAGGATCAAGGCTCGATAGACGACGAACTCGCTTCGGCGAATTATGATGATGCGAGCAGTGTCAAGGTCCATCTCATCACCAGGGACGCGGGCAAAAGCAAGCCCCCTTCCGTGGAGGAAGAGAATGCAGCCGATCAAGAGCCCATTCCATCGTCTACAGATTATGGCATCTCGCCATCCGATGAGTCGGACCTCAACCCAAGGAGCTCTTTACTCTTCAGTCCCACCAAAGCAGATGGGCCGTTACCAAATCCCAGAGCGACTCGTGCTCAGGACACAATCTGCAGAGTATTCCGGCGGAGTGATGCCGATAACATGTATGAGCGATACAGGCATCATCTCCAATCCTGGGAGATCCCCGACGAACTGAGATGTGAAGTTGTTCGTCGCTTCCCGGAGCCCATTATCCACGTCATGGATCCAATTGATCGGCTTCGGGTCGGACTGCTCGCCAGGGCTCACGGCATCAGCCCGGTCAGTCGACTCTGCGGGGCGGCCAACTCAGAGAATGTTGACGAGACCAGCGCCAAGATTGAGAAGAAAATCAATACAAAAGCCCATGTGGTTGAGTCTCCGTGTCCACTGCTAGATATCGCAGAGGACATGTTGGTCATTGCAAACCGAGAAGATGACCAGGAGAGGAAATGTGTCTTGAGTGCGCTCGCCAACGCTATCGGCCTCTGCCACGAGAAGTACCATTCGTCCCAAACAGTACTCTGATACTCAGAGGGGGGGCTATTGATCAGGATCCGGGGGCACCGTTCTCAAAGGTCGGACGATGACGTCGATGGTAGGGGTGACGACGATGTTTCTCGAGACTGTTGCTTGAGCCTGTCGTTTATATGTTGCTTTTTGGTTTTGTCGTCACGTTTTCCCTCATACTGTTGATGGGACAGTCGGGAGCACCTTTCTCGCGGAGAATGACGGAGAATAAGCGTTGCGGCTGTCCTGCCGTCTTACCCGATAATGAACAAGATCAAGAAATTGCTTTTCATATGAAGCTCAAATCCCGGTACAATCAGTCATTCCGTATAAGCAAAAGTCAAGTAGTCGAGTTGACAAGGTCGGCATTATACAGACGATGTTTTTAAAGTAAATGCCCCCCTCCTCCCCCTCCTCCCCCTCCGCCTCTTCTCTCTTTTGTTGAGTCACGAGGAAGATAGGCTCTAGAGAAGGAAGGAGCGCCATGGGGGGAGTAACTTCCCCAGAACCATTGTCGCCTCTAAGATTTTATTGTTTTATTGTTTTGATCACGCCAGTCTCACTATATAATGCCCCCCTTTCTTCAAGGCCCTTTCTTCAAGGCCCTTTCTTCAAGGCCCTTTCTTCAAGGCCCTTTCTGCTTCTTCGGAGGGTCTCAAATACGAAGGCTTCATCAACGGTACACTATCAATTCGCGTCCAACACAGCTTCTGCGTATTAACAGACATTGTCACGTACCTCGGCCGCACTGTTTCTGTCCATTTCTTTCTAGTCCATATATGTACAGGTAAATCCCATGTAAATATCGGAATTACAGGCCTCCCCCCACAATAGGCCAGCGTGGGTCTCTCTACACAGGAGGTACCCCTGGCGCGCCTCCGGAACAACAGTTCCCCCTTTTCTCCGCCACCACTCATTTTTATTTTTACTCAGCACCCAAACCAGACCAATTCAACCTCCAAGCTCCTAGGAGTCCCTACATCACGGTAATCAACCACCTCCCCAGCTAGGCCCCCTCCCAACCATGGCCAGCATTACCTCCCTCGGCCTCCGGGCCATGGCACGAATTGCCCCCACGACGACGATGACGACGACGACGACGACGACGACGACAATGACCCGTTCCCTCTCCACCACGACCATGCTCAAGAAGGGCGGCAGCTCTGGCTCCGGCGGCGGTCGTCGCAAGAACCACGCCCCCAAATCCGAATACCACGCCCGCGTCAGGACGCTGACCCAGAACATGTTCTCCCCCGCCCCCGCACCTCTGAGGATGGCCCGCCTTCGCTACCTGCGGCACTGGACCATCCACCGCGCCTGGCTACTCCTCCGACGACAGCAGCGCGAAGCTACTGACAAGGAGAGGGCTCGCATGCAGGCAGGCATGTACAATGCCTGCGAGGAGCTCAGGCGCACCGTCGGCCCCGGTGACAGGGGCGAGGGCTACCTCTACCGCGTTGCTATGGAGAAGAAGGGCGTCTGGGGCACCCAGGGCATCCCCATCGAGTACGCTAGATACCAGGTCGATTATCCTGGTCCCAAGCCTTGGAATCACGAGTGGACCAGGTGAACGGAAACTCTGTCGCGTCTTCAAGGATCCATGCGGAAGAGAGGGCACAGCATGTTGAACGGAGCGGGAGGGGAAAGAGGGACCTCGAATGTATTATAATCCTGTTTGTACTTGTACCGTGTATAGCATCCAATGCATCTTGTCTCTTGACACCACAGCCGTCTACCCTCGCCAGATAAGAAATTACATCGGCTCCGGTCGCCCTTCCGGGATCTACTCTCGCTGCGCTCCCAAGTAGATTCGCGTGACTTGACTTAACACTTCTTTTGTCAACGTCAATTTCCGCAGCATACGAAACACGCTGCCTCGGCCAGCCCTACCGGCGGTCGGCCTTCCTGCACCCGTACGAGTGTATAAGATCAGCTCAGAAAACAGTGTCGTGATATGAAAAATCTGCACAGCAGGCTAAATCTCATGCCACCCCTGATCTAATCCCCTTCCTTTCATCGCTGGGACCAAATCTATGCCACCCGTCCATAACTGGTACTTCCCACGGTGGGGTTATATTCAAACAGAAACTTTTTTTTCAAATAGAGCAAATAATCAGTGAGTGGGAGAGATGATAAGAGAGAGAAATCATCAGGTTATAAAAGAGAACGCTGCCCTTGGGGTATGGCCGCTGTTGGGACTTGTAGAGAATGAACAGAAAAGAAACACGATTTTGAACAAAGAAGAAAAAAAAAGAGAATCGCTTGCCAAGTTGGAATGGGGTCAAATGATTGTAGTGGCAGGAATTAAGTTGGTGAGGATAAAGATATGTTGGGATCTTGTAAGCAAGGAGATTCGTCATGGGCGAGGAGGAGACTAGTCCCGACGAGTGTATGAGGCGATTGTATCGGTGTGGTATAGGGCGGTGATGATGATAGGAGTGGTAGTGGTGTTTGATGGTGTTGGTTCGGTTTATCGGTCAAGAGAGCATCGGCGGGCCGGTCGGTTCAAGTTGACTCGTCAGTCGGGAGAGCGGCATCGGGCTGACAGCTGAAGCCTCACAGGATGACGCAGCAGCCGCTGCTCTCGCCCTTTTCAAATGTAAGGAGGGCAGCGCGGGTAGCGGCCTCGAAGACGTCGTCGACGCCCTCGCCGCTCAGACTAGAACACTCGAGGTATCTCTTGGCGCCGATCTCGCGAGCCGCCACCTCGCCATCGTGTGTCGTGACAAAGTTTAGTGACTTCTTACGCATCTCCTCTATGGCCACGGGATCTTCACGAAGATCCTTCTTCAGGCCGACGAGGATGATGGGGACACCAGCGCACAGTCGAGTAGCCTCTTCGACCCACTGCAATGTTCTATCAGCACCTGTCCCTCGTCCTTTCATGTCTGCGTACTGTACACACCTTGTGCCTGACGTTATCCAGCGAGTCGGGAGACTCGACTGAGAAGCCCACCAAGATGACGTGGGCCTTGGAGTAGGCTAGGGGGCGTAACCGCTCGTAATCTTCTTGACCTGCTGTATCCCACAATGCTAACTGTACAGACTTGCCATCTACCCTGCAATCTGTCACATAATTTTCAAATACGGTGGGAATCTTGGGGTTGTTAGTTTCATGGTATTTGATCGGGGTCTTTGGCGGGAGGAATGTCTCACATAATGCTAGAATTGAGTGTTAGCTACTTGAGAAAGACGAGCTGGTTTAGAGGAGCGACAGGAACTCACTGTTGGAAAGTATCCAAGCGTAAAGACGCTGAGAAGACTGGTCTTTCCGCATGCTCCGTCTCCGATGATGACGAGTTTCCTGTCAGAAGCGTAATGGTCAGCCACGCCTCGTTCGACTGGCGAGCGCTGAGAATGGGTGCCCGTACCTCCGAATGACGTTTGAGGGACTGGCAGCCGCCATTGTCAATTACTAGTATATTATAGAGACGAAGCGTCTCACGCCTGTTCTTCTTCGATCGGTCGAGGGAGCAGCAGTTCGTAGCGGATGTTTTAGTCGGCAGCTTCCAAGGGGACCAAGAGTGGTTTCGGGTAAAAAAAAATGAACTGGAAGCTGGGAGCTTTGGGCCAGGGAGAGAAGCAGACTAGATGCCAAGCCAGAACCAGGGGTTGCTTGGCTTTTGGTCACAGGTAGCCCAAAGGAAAACGGTGATGGGACGGGAGTGATTGGTAGGTCGAGGGTGTGGACGAAGTCGACCCAAACTGGGGGGGTGGGACGCGGGATTGCGGTCGATGGTCGGCGGAATACGGACTGACGTCCCCCAGGGCGCGTCGTGCAGCGTATGAGGAACGGCGATGAGAATAGAAAAGGCGATCGTCTGTTTTGGCGCGAAGAATACGAGAAAAAAAAGAGAGAGTTCCCTCTCTCAATTCTGCTGGACCTGTGTGTGTGGGGGCGGAAGAGAGAGCAGAAGTCGAAACGAGAGCGAGGGGATAAACTGTGTATAAAAAGAGGCCGGCTCAGAAGATAAGGCTGTTTGATCACGGGGGTTTCGACGTAATATTATGTGACAGCGGGTTTTCTTTGTTTCCTGTGGCTTCCAATACACAAGACGAAAAGGCTTGGCTTGAGGGGGGTCTTTTGCTTCGGAGGAGAGGAGTTAAGAAAGAGAGATGAGGCAGCAAGTATGGAGCAGCAGAGCAGTAGTAAGTAAGTAGTAGCCTTGAGTCTTAGCCTGGCTTTGACCGGCAAGAACTGGATCCATCGGCAGGTCGCAGCTTCCCACTTTGTGTTCCTTTCTGCCACTGCTAAAAGGGTCCCCTTCTCATGTCAGGCTTCCTCTGTCGTGCGCTAGGGACCTGCGTGTTTTGCTAAAAGGGACCTGAAGGGACCTGAAGAGCCCTGTGAGTCTCGGCTGTCACGCCAATCCGTATTAGCGTACCTCGCAAGTACGGACCGCCTGCCGTTCCAGTGAGCTCCAGCAGCCTCTAACGCGCTCTACGCTACCTACCTGTATATACATAGTGCCTTACGGCCGTACGTTCTGGGGCGCTTGGGCGCGTCTACAGTGGGATGTACTGATATTTTAGGGGTGTGGACCCCCCGGGCTTATCGGGAGCTGTGGCAGTGCATCTCTACTATGTACTTTCCACGCTCCATGGATGTTAATAAAATGTCCATTCTGATCTGTACGTACTGTTGGGTTCCATCACTGCCCATGACGGTCCATGAGCTCATCCAATGGGCCAGATGGCAGTTGACAACGGTCCAACAGATCCAGGGAAATGCCGAGGTGAATTGTTGCTGGAAACGCGAATATGAGGAGGGCACATATGCACTGTCACTAGGTCACACCTTGTGTTAGCTGACAGCTCTGCACCACGTAGTACACATAGGTATGTACTCCTCGCAGCACATCTGCACGGTCATCCTTCATGGTCGGATGGCTACACAAACAGGGAAATATCTTTCGATGGTATTGTTCGTGATATCAGTCGTAATCCAGATTTTACGGTTCGTCCCTGTCACCCATTAATCGCCCAGCTTGGACGCGCCGCCGATCCAACCATGAAGATGCTGTGCGCCTGTGTCGTGCATTGGCGACTGCGCCGCCTTGCCACTGCGTAGCGACCGACACCCCCCCCCCCCCCCCCCCCCCGCGGTGTATCGAGAAGTGTAACGCGAGGCGGGCCATAATATGAAAAAGCCCATGTGGGAAAGAGAAAGGAAAGATAAGGAGAAAAATTATGGCATTGGTAGTGAATGCATTCGCATGTCATGCGTCTGAAGTTTTGCTCCCTGTAGAATACGCCATAATGTTGGGGGGGGGGAGGGAGTAGTAGTCGTCAGCCCCTGGTAGGAGGGACTGGGCGTTTCTCCATCTTTCTTTAATATCCCGTCATTTCATATCAATCTTCCAGCCATGGGGATACACCGGAGTTGGCCTGAATTTAGTCGTGCCATGGGTCATCAAGGTACAAATCGAGCGGGGACATTGGTCAAATTTTGACTGTTGGTCACGGCTTGATATTGCAAGCAGATATTAACTGCTTCACATAGATGCTCGAGTAAACGAGTAAGCGAAAGGCAGAGAGGAAATTGTCGGGCCGTCGGGCTGCTTCTGTAGTCGTCTGCGCTTCAAAAGTACGCGTACTGATATATATACTTGTGATAACGTAGAAAAAAAGTGATAATACTGCTATGAATACAAATACTGAGTAATACATATGTATTAATGCTCATTAATACATGCTTTCCTCTGGGACATTTTGACTTAATGCCTCATTAACAAGGCATCAACGGCGCACCTTCCTCAATCGTCAAAATGCTCAATCGTGTCACGTGCTCTGCTCGCTCAGACCTGCACTCCACTATTTTCCCAACTTCAACTTTCTCCCAGCTACGGCTCAAAGTACCTTTGCTGCTTAGCTTGGCTGTAGGGTGACTTCTAGCGCCTTCCACCAAACGCTGTACCCTGTCAAACATCAATCTCTCGCCCGCCGCATCATCATCAACACCATCAAACCAAACCACCAACTGCTACCAACCTTCCAACCCGTTACGACAATTCTTACCCACCGAAACGCCTTCAGCTTCGCTAAAACAACTTGCTGAGCTTCCTTCCTTCTCCTGAGACACGTTTCAACCATCAAAACGCAGTATTCCAATACCCTTTCAGCGCTCAGTCTACCCCTCCCACGGCTCCAAGCCTGCCCTGGTGGCTCGCCCTTCCCTCCAACGTCGGATTTGTGTTTGTGAGTGGGTCTCACTTGTGATATCTGTCTCTTCTCCCAGTCTCTTGATTTCCTTCGCCTTCTCTCTTTCTTTCTCCGCCTGTTTCAATCCTAGCAGCCAGCCCCGCGGATCTCATCCCATCCCTTTTTAGCCGCTCGCCACCTGGACGCACAAAGAGTCGTCGCGGGAGCACCTCGTCTGCTGCCGGTGCGAAACCTGCTGGCCGTCTCCTCTCTTGACTTACCACTGACCTTGAACCGGCATCATATCCAGGAACCATATCAGAAGCGAACCTCTTCGTCCACGCGACCCAAAAAACGACACACTCATGCCATCCTCGACTCGTCGCTCTCTGTCTTAACTCCCACCATGCCGGCTCATCACCATAAACCGGCCCCTCAACCGCCGCCCTCGCCTCGAAACACGGCCAAATATATCAGCAAGGATGGTTCCAAGTTCATCACCGTTACCAAGCCTGCCGACTCCGAGTCATCTCAACCCTCGACCCCCGCCGCCTCCCAGTCCGCCGATGCGCCGAACGAGCCCACTGCTTCTCAACCCCCGGCACCAGCCGTGAACCGCAAGAAGCAGAAGCGTCGCCAGAAGGCTGCCGCCAAAGCTGCTGCCGAGGAGGCTCTACACCCCAACGGCCACGCGTCGCCGCAATCGTCAGCCGACGTCAGCTCACCCCAACCAGGCCTGGCAGACGATGACGAGGTCAACAGCGAAGATGACGAAGGCTACGAGTTCGTCCTCCGGTCTGAAGTGACTAACGGCCACACTGACCCAAGCGGTTCCAAATCAAAAAAGAGCAAGAAGAAGAAGAAGAAGAAGAATGGCGCTCAGACCGACGCCGGAGCCGATGACGTAGCGTCGCCGCTGTCCGGGCCCGCCTCCCTCGGCCCCCGCGGTCGGGGCATATCCCGCAACGACAAGATCTGGAGCACTAGTAACCAGGAGGAGCGCGAGAGAATCAAGGAGTTTTGGCTAGGACTCGGCGAGGATGACCGCAAGTCTCTTGTCAAGGTGGAAAAGGACGCCGTACTCCGCAAGATGAAGGAGCAGCAGAAGCATACATGCAGCTGTACCGTCTGCGGCAGGAAGCGCACCGCCATTGAGGAGGAGCTAGAGGGTCTGTACGACGCTTACTATCTCGAACTCGAGCAGTTTGCGAACCAAGGCGAGGGCCCGCCCATGCTCGGCCCGCCGCGTGAGTACTCGACCCCGGCCTTCCGGAATATGCACCCCCACCACCCGGGATACCCGCCGCAACCGCCGTCACGCGGGCGCATAGTCGAGCACGTAGGCGACGATGAAGACGAGGACGAGATCGAGGAGGTCTACAGTGAGGACGAGGTCGACGAGGACGACTACAGTGACGACGAACCCCCCGAGGAATACCACAACCCGCACGACCGCGACGTGGCAGATTTCTTGACGTTTGGCAACAGCCTCCAGGTCAAGGGTACGCAGCTTCTTGAATCTCTACTGCTCAGATATGGTAACATGGACTTAGGCGGCATTCTCACTGTGGCGGACGACCTGCTCAAGAACGACGGCAAGCGCTTCATCGAGATGATGGAGCAGCTGGCCGAGCGCCGCATGGCCCGAGAGGAGGACGCGCGCGAGCACTCCCCCCGCAGCTACGGTCATCCCAACGGCTCGTACCCCGCCCCTCACAGTCACCTGCCCCCCGAGGACGAGGAGGACTACGAGGAGGACTACGACGACGAGGAAGAATACGAAGAGAGCCAAGATGACGAGGATGACGAAGAAGAGGTATACTCGGACCCGTCCACGATGATGCCGCCGTCTAGGTACCATACTGAGTGCTGCTGCCAGAACGCCTTGACCGAAGAGCAACGAATGGAGGAGGGACGACGCATGTTCCAAATCTTTGCCGCCCGCATGTTCGAGCAACGTGTCCTCTCGGCCTACAAGGAAAAGGTGGCTAAGGAACGCCAAGCCAAACTCCTCGAAGAGCTCGAGGAGGAGGGTCGCAAGGAGGACGAGCAGAAGGCCCGCAAAGCGAAGACAGCCCAGCGCAAGAAGGAGAAGGCGGCCGAGAAGAAGAGGGCGCTGGCGGAGGAGAAGGCCCGCAAAGATGCTGAGAAGGCCGCCGAGGAGGCTGCACGTCTAGAGGCCGAGCAGCGCAAGGTCCAGGAGCAACGGCTCAAAGCCGAGGAGAAGAAGAGGCAGAAGGAGGCACAGAGGAAGGCTGACGAGGAGGCTCGTCTCCGCAAGGAGGCTGAGCGCCAACGGCGAGTCCACGAGCAGCGTGAGAGACAGTTTGAGCAGGAGCGCAAGGCCCGCGAAGCCAAGGAGCGCGAGAAGAAGGCCAAGGAGGAGCAGCGGCTCAAGGAGAAACAGGCTCGGGAGCAAAAGGAGCGCGAGGCCCTCGAGCGCAAGGAGAAGCAAGAGCGCGACAAGCGCGAAAAAGAGGCGCGCGCCGCCAAAGCTCAAAGGGAGGCTATTGAGGCCAGGGAAGCCAAGGAACGTGCACGTGAAGAAGTCGCGTCTCAAAAGGCTGCGGCCGCCGCCGCCGCCGCTGCTGCTGCTGCTTCTGCTGGCTCGACAAGTCAACAACAACAACAACAACAACAACAACACTCTCATCCGCATGCTCACCCTCACTCTTCCTCTTCTCAGCAGCAACAGCAACCTCCTGGCAGCAGCTCATCGACCATGTCGCAGACAGCGAAGCGTAGTGGGCCGACGCCAGGCGGTCAGGTGCCCACGCCGTCTATATCGACGGTGCTCCCACAGCACCCGCCGAATACGGCCAACTATGCCTCGCCCAAGATTCCCGTCGCCACTCCCGTGATACCCAAGGCCCCGACACCGATGCGGAACCGCACCATCTCGCACCAGCTTGAGATGCAACAACAGTATCAACAGCAACAGCACCAGCAGGCGCAGCACTCGAACGCATCGGCATCACAGCCAGGTTCGGTCACGAGCCACGATGCTTCCCCCCGTCCAGAGGCTCTCGATCAGCATCACGCGAGTCCCAGGTCGATCGTGCAGCCGCGTAAGACGAGCGGGACCATCTCTGGGTCGCTGCCTCTCCACACGCAAAACTCATCGTCTCCCGTGTCCAGTATCTTAGGACACTCGACACCCGTGAGCCTGCCGCCACCCATCGGCATGCAGTCTCCTCCGGGTCTGGGGCAGCATGCTCCGCCACCGGGATTCGGGGGTCTGCCTCCGGGTTTCCGGGCAGGACACATGATGCCACCCCCGGGGATCAACGGACCGGTCGTCGGGCGCGGCTTCTCGCCTGTGCACGTGGCCATGGCACCAAGCTTCAGCGCCCAGGGCCATGGAGACCACCATCAGTTTCCCATCGTCCAGGCTGGCACGCCTCACGGGCACAGCCGACAGGGCTCGGCGGGATACGACATGGCCACCAACGCAGTGCCCGGCGCGCCGTCGACACACGGCATCGGGACGTCGGGACAGCCCATCGGTCGTCCGGCACCTATCGGAAGGCCCGGTAGCACCAACCAGGGCCGGCCGCGCGCAGCCCAAGATGATGAGACGCAGCAGCTGGGTAGCAGGGCGCTCCTCGGAGACGACGAGCCCCTGGTGGGGTCGGACCTCCACCCGGGAGGGCTCCGAACGCAACCACCTGGGCTGGCCCGGCCTGGAGGGTTCGGCCCCGGCCCATTCAGCGACAGCGGATTTAACCCGCCGCTCAACCCGTGGGCAGCACCCTTGCCTCCCGGCGGAGGTCACGCCGGGTTTGGACCTCCGGGTTTGGTGGCACCGACGTGGGGAGCACCAGGAATGGCGCCCCACCACCACCACCACCACCACTCGCATATGCAGGCGTTTGGCATCGGATCGCCCCCCAGGCCTGCCTTTGGGATGATGAGGCCGCCTAACCAGGCCGGAGGGACGAGCATCCCGGCCCTCCGGACACTTCTGTGCCAGGCATGCAGGGAGCTGGTGAGCTCTGGCCAGGCGGACAAGGACGGTTTCATCGACGTAGCGACTCTGGAGCGACACATCGAGACACGGCACGGCAAGATGGACAGTCGCGAGCTGACGAACCTCTTCGACACAGAGGGCAACGCGTCCAATGGCGGAGGTAGCTTCGAAGCCAAGAAGGTGGGTGAGATGGAGCACGTGCGGTGGCTACCGACGGGGACAGAAGACGGCATTCACTCTCAGCCTCGAGACGTGGGTGCTCCCGGGCAGATGCGCAGTCCCATGGTAGGGCATGCGACTACGGTACGGGGGATGTAGACTCCCATCTTCTGATGATGCGGTCAGATGGCAATCAATGCTCGAAGCGAAAAGCGTGAAGAATGGGGGGACAAGCGGTACACGAAATAAGACCCGAACGTGTGTGTTGAAATATATTCATCTTCTCTCATGGACCATCAGCGAATCTCTTTTTTTTTCATGTTTCCTTTTTCCGTGTCGGTTGCTGTTCCTCTTTCACTTTGTTACCTTTTTTTTTTCTTTTTACTCTGTTAGTATTGTTGGAGGGAGGGAAGGGGAAGAGCATGAAGATTTCCTTCGTTTTTTATTTCGTGCCGTGGTGAGACGGTTCACGCGATAGACGTCGGCATGTCCTACTTCTTTCCCTTCTTCTCCAGTAGCTGAATCCATGGACACTTCGGGCATTTATGTGAAGTCTTGGGTGATGTCTACTATACGATGGTGTGTGTACCAGTATGGATGCGATCTACCAGTACAAGGGCGTCACATCTTACCGGTATGGATTGTCCATGCATATACGTGGGATGTAGATTCAGTAAATTATGTCCATTCTCCCAGAAACTCGACTAACATTAAAACGCATAAACAAGAGAATCTTTTTTTTTCGATATGAGAAGGGGATGAAAGAGAGAGAAAAAAGACAAGATAGAACAAGATATGGAAGAGAAGAAGGAAATAGTAAAAAAAAATCGAGAAATCGTTTCTGGCTGAATCCAATAGTACAAACAAAGACTTTTTTTTCCATATCATACCGAGGGATGACGTGTCTTGCTCAGATCCGATGCTAGAGACCAGGAGAGGAACGGAGAGCAAAGGGCAGGGCAGAGCAGAGCAGAGATAGCACAGGCAAAGATGTGAGCGTGGGAGAAGCAGACCCGGTCAAGGGCAGGTCAAGGCCTACGACCTACTGGCGGTTGTTGTCGTGAAAGGGGTCGTTGGGACCGACGCCAGGGCTGGGGGAGCGACGATCGGAGATGAGAGGGGCGCGCTGCTCCTGGGCACGGGCAGCCTTCTTCTTCTTGGTGGCGGCGCGGGCGAGGGCGGTGGCCTCTGCCTTGGCGGCCAGACGCTTCTGCTCCTTGCGGTCCTGACAGCAGAGGTAGGTGAGCGTGGCGACGGCCAGGGCGATGCCGATGCCGAAGGCGACGGAGATGATGATGCCGGCCAGGTCGAGGCTGTTCTGGAGTTCCATGCAGATGTTGTTTCCCGAGTTGTCGAAGGAGCAGGTCATGCCTTCGGCGCACTTGGAGACGGGGACGAGGGTGCTGCTGCAGGTACCGGTGGCGATGTTGCCGTCGGTCGAGGTGGTCACGTCGCAGATCTTGGTGCTGGTCGAAGATGTCGTCAGGCAGGCATCGCCCGACGTAGCAGACCGCACGAAGATGAGGTTGTGGCGCTTGTTGTGGTCCGAGAAGACGAGGTCGGCCGTGTTGATGGCGCCCACGGCCGGGTTAGGAGACGAGCCCACCGTCTGCGTGGGGATGGCGCTCAACGCCGCGTCCGCGTAGCCGCGTCGGCCACGACGCATGCGCAGCTCCCGGTCATCTGGGAACAGGTCGGTGCACCGGTCCTGAGCCCCCGACGCCCTGGAACGGGCCTCGTCCTCTGTGCAGCCGGCCGAGACGTAGCAGCCCATCAGCGTCGACGCCTCCGACGTCGTCAGGCTCGAGAAGCACGCCATCAACGCCGAGTGGTCGCCGCAGCCGGCATCCGATACCATCTCCCGACGGTTGGCGAGAACGCAGTCGTACTCGGTGGAACGGCCGACGGCAACGGCCATGGCCCCAGCGGCCAGGGAGAGGTATGGTACAACGTGCATTATGCTTTTTTTTTCTTCTCTTCTTCTTCTTCTTACGTGTATTCTCCCTTCTTCGTCGTCTTCGCCTTCGTCTTCGTCGTCGTCGTCTGTCGGAAGGGGTTTGTCGTGTTCAGGGGGAGAGGAGATGTGGGGAGGAGGAACAGGAACAGGACAAATGGGAGGGAAGGAGCGACAGTCGCAGTTGCCGTGAGTTGTTGCTGACAAAAAAAACAGAAAGAGGAAGAGAAGGCGGTCAACAATGTGGGCGGAAAACGCTGCAGTAGTACATATAGTACAGATATTACTCCTTGGATGGATGGGAGAGGAAAAGAAGGAGGATCAGAGTGAAGGATTCAAGGGAGAAAAAAAACGTCGGGGAGCAGAGCAATGGAAGGGAACCCTGCCTGCATTTCTCGTAATATGTACCCTGCCACGTAACAGGGAAAAGAAAATAGGGACAAGAGCGAGCCAGGGGATGGCTGAGCCGTTGGCTGAGCCTCTGGCGCGTTGAAGTTGGGGG